CACACGAAAAAATTTCTCGACATGAACACAACCCAAAGGCGTCACTATTAGTTACTCATAAGAATACAAAGTTTACATGAAAGAAACAAATTATACTTATCATTTCACGTTTAACTTAAATGATTTGCACACGAATTACCTAATTACGCGATTATGTAGCGTGCTAAAGTGCATATCACTTTCGCATTAGGTGGGTTTGATGGAAACACAAACGTTGATTAACCATGTTAAATGGGTCAACACGACTGTGCCCAACCCAAACAAATTTATTTTTTGTCTTTTTCAAGTCGGATTGTCGAATCTGTCTAAAATTGTTACCTCTACTCTTTCTTGGCACTTTCCACCCAAATTCGAACAAAAACAGTGAAGCTACATCCGGACAAAAACACAATAAACGGTACATCGTCCAACAACTTTCATATTTTTAATAGAAAAACATGCATGCAAGTGTGTAGTATCCCACATCGCCCGTGAGGGCGTGGTCTTTGGGCCTTATATATCCATTGCCAGCATGTACCTTTCAACGAGGCCTTTTGGGAGCTCATTGGCTTCGGGTTCCATGGGAACTCCAAAGTTAAGCGAGTAGCGCGTGAGAGCATTCCCAGGATGGGTGACCCATCGGGAAGTTCTCGTGTGAGTTCCCAAAAACAAAACCGTGAGGGCGTGGTCGGGGCCCAAAGCGGACAATATCGTGCTACGGTGGTGGATCGGGCCCGGGAAGTGGTGCCCCCCGGGCCGGGATGTGACAATTTGGTATCAGAGCCAGACTCACGGTCGTGGTGTGCCGACGAGGACGTCGGGCTCCCTAAGGGGGGTGGATTGTAGTATCCCACATCGCCCGTGAGGGCGTGGTCTTTGGGCCTTATATATCCATTGCCAGCATGTACCTTTCAGTGAGGCCTTTTGGAGCTGCGGCTTGCAAAGACAAAACCGTGCGGTAGCCCTCTGCTGCGACATAGTCCAGAGGGGGAATGCCAAAGCGGACAATATCACTGCGAGGGAAGGCTGGGATGTGACGAAGTGGCTTTTTATTTCATTGGAAGAGAATGTTATCTTTACACCGAAGCGTAGATTGAATTTTATTGATTTTTTAATCTAACATCTAATTTAATAAAATATATCATTTAACAATAAAAAAAATAAAAAAAATGCATTATTCTAATTCTTTTTTTCCCTCTTCTATTTGTGAGTGTAATTGGGTGAATTTTGGGTTTGAGTTTCACAGCATTCTTTGTAATCTCGTTTTGTTTATTAGTGAAACTTCCTCACTCTTCCTAAACTAGACGTAGGCCTATGCCCAACCAGTATAAATCTTTGTGTTATTTTGAATTGTTTGTTTTGTTATATTTTTCCGTATTAGTTTATTGATTTCAAATTATCAATTCCGCACAACACTCTGAACCCTTGTGAAGGTGGAGAGGAGCTTCTTGTATTTGGAAGTGCCAATTCAGATAATTTGCGTCATCCAATTTGACATCGACGGAGATGGAGAGGAGCTTCTCGTAATGTTAATTCAACATTGGAACAAGAGAAATAGCTCCATGTGCTGAAATTGAAGAATTCAGTTGCAAACAACACATTTATGTTGCCCATCAGAACAAGATAAATTTGAATAATTAAGTTTTTAATTGCCCAATTCCGTCCCCATATGAATTTAGAATATGGAGGACGTGTTTGTCTTCAAATTTTCTAAGCACTTTGTAGAGCTGTAGGAACTTTGCAGCCACAAGACATAAATACCAAGTACCCTTAATTACTCATCCAGATGTCTCAAGGTTCATGTTGACATGAATGAGAGATTTTTCAGTGTGTGCTGGGCACACGGCTCGTTACATCAAGTTTAATAATATAATTGGTTGAAAACTTGAAAAGAAAAATTCTGACGAATTATATCATGATTCTTGGTTTACCAAGTAGTGTGCCGGCCACGCTATAAACCTTCTCGACATGAACAAAACCCAAAGGCGTCACTATTAGTTACTCATAAGAATACAAACTCTACATGAAAGAAAAAGGTTAAACTTGCCATTTCATGTTCAACCTAAATGACTTACACACAAGTTACCTAGTTATGCAATTGTGTCAGCATGCTAAAATGTACATCACTTTTTGATTAGGTGGGTTGGATGGAAGCACAAACTCTTATTAACCATGTTAAATGGGTCAACACGATTATGGCCGACTTAAACAAATTTATTTTTTGTCTTTTTCAAGTTTGATTGTTGAATCTATCTAAAGTTGTTGCCTCTACTCTTTCTTGGCACTTTCTACCCAAATTCGAACAAAAACAATGAAAGCTACATCCGAACAAAAATACAATAAAAGGTACATCATCCAACAACTTACATATTTTTTAATAAGAAAAACACATATTATCCTCATCATACATATGAAAGATTTCAGAGTAGCACCGTTACTAACGTGACAGTAGATTAGAATCCAAACGATGCTATTAGATATGACACAATGTGAAAAGCTGACACTTAACTAGGAATATTTCCAATCACTCTAACTCACTTGTGATCTGAATAGGGAGATCGGAAGATATTTTCGGTTTGCAAAGAAGTTGTTGGGTATGCAGGCGCAGATTCAACATAGTTGAACTATATCGCTTAGTGTAGAATATCATTTTTTTTTTTTTTGTTTAGTTATCATTTTTTTTGTTGTTTAGTTACACTAGGTGCATTTGCCTTTTTATTTCAATAAAATTTCACCTTGCACAATCGAGGTTTCTTTAACAAAAAGGAAAAGTGTAGATTAGTATAGAATATCATTTATACTAAAAAACATATTCATACAAATTAAACTCATGGGACTTGCAGATGACGCTTTACCACAGTAACAAAAAAACAATAATGCGTATATGCGGATCACATGCTTTTTAGTTGGCATATGCGGATCACATGCTTTTTACTGCTCGTATATCTCGCATTGTGCAATTTGGGCGAGAGGGTGAGAATAGAAGCAGCTGCACTAGTGAGAGGGAAAGAGAAGAGCCGACGCCCCAATAGAAGAGAGAAATAAAATTGGGAACTGCCGCATTTAAGGTTCTGTAAGAGTGAAACCAATTAGAGATTGTTGTAGTTGTAGGAAGACAAATATTTTGTTTGTAATTCGTTTTTTCCCTCTTCTATTTGTGAGTGTATTTGGGTGTATTTTGTGTTTGAGTTTGAGAGATTAAACGCTCTTTGTAATCTCGTTTTGTTTATTAGTGTAACTTCCTTGTTGTTTCCGAATTGGATGTCGACTAATATAAATCTTTGTGTCATTTTGAATTGTTTGTTTTGTCATATATTTTCGTATTAGTTTAATGGTTTCAAATTAGCGCTTCCGCACAACACTCTGAACCCAGTGAATGTGGAGAGAATCTTGTTGTATTTGGAAGTGCCAATTCAAACAATTTGAGTCGTCCAATTTGACATTGACAGAGGTGGAGAGGAGCTTGTTGTAATGTTAATTCAACATTAGAACAAGAGAAATAGCTTGATGTGCTGAAAGAGTTGTTGTAACTTTGCAGCCACAAGACATAAATACCAAGTACCCTTAATTACTCTTCCAAATGTCTTAGGTTTGCGTTGACATGTACGAGAGATTTTTCAGTGTGCTAGCCACACGGCTCGGTACACCAAATTTAATAATGTAATTGGTTGAAAATTTGAAAAATAAAATTTTAACGAGTTGTATTATGATTCTTTGGTGTACCAAGTAATGTGCCGGCCATACAAAAAAATTTCTCGACATGAACACAACCCAAATGTGTCACTATTAATAAGAACGCAAAATTGACATGAAAGGAAAAGATTAAACTTATCATTTGACGTTCAACTTAAATGATTTGCACACGAGTTGCCTAATTACGCGATTGTGTAAGCGTGCTTAAGTGTACGTCACTTTCGGATTAGGGTGGAAACACAAACTCTTAGTAACCGTTTTAAATGGGTCAACTTGATTATGCCCAACTGAAACAAATTTATTTTTTGTCTTTTTCAAGTCGGATTGTCAAATCTATCGAAAATTGTTACCTCTACTCTTTCTTGGCACTTTCTACGCAAATTCGAACAAAAACAATGAAAGGTAAGAAAAAACCATCACATGATGGTCCAGTGATTGGGACGATTTTTAAATCTGTATTTCATATGATACATTTTGAATTCGATTTCTGATGCTGGTAAATCGTACGATGGTGATCAAAGGAAGGCCGAAATGCTTTTGTAAGTTTTTTCGATCTTTGAATTAGTGAACTGCCGTAATAAAACTACAAACTAATTATTTTATATATAAAAAAAATACAATAAAAGATACGTCATCCAACAACTTTCATATTTTTAATAGAAAAACGCACATTATTCTCGTCATCGACTCATTGACTTTCTTAGGCTACATTTTTTATTTTTCTCCTGCAATGGGTTTTTATTTCGGAGGGTTGGTGTAAAAGGATGGAGTGCACAGGGTGGGAAGCCCTGTTGTTGTAGTGTGCCACCACTATAAATCCTGCAATGGGTTTTTATTTTATTTTTTTTGTCGTAAATTAATTTCAATGTGTGTTTATAGAATTACATTTTGTTTTTGTTGGGATAGTGCTAGGAAACCACCTATTAAAAAGAAACTCATTTTCGTTGACTCATTGACTTCTAGATCATTTTACAATTTTCTTCTTTTAAATTTTATAGAATTAATTTTTTTTGGATAATGTTAAAAAAATCAAAATTTTAAACCAAATTTACAAGCTAAATGATGTATCATCAATTAAAAACATCATTAAATAATCTAATTATCTACAAATACAAAATTTAATTTTCTTAACATTTCCTTTTTTTTTTCTTGGTTTTGGTCAAGTGAACATTCCATTAATATTTTCTTGAGAAAATTTGAAATAGGTCTAATTTTATAGACTACCTTTTGAAATAGGTTCAATTTTTAATGATTTTTTACTTTGAAAATATGACTAATTTTTAATTACTTTGAACTTATATCAAACGATCTCATGTTTCTTTAAAACAAAAAACAAAAAAACACAAGAGAAACGAAACAAAGGCCCGAAAAACGGAGAGTATGCCCAAACAGAAACAAAGCTCAAAGAAGAACAAAACCTAGCAGCAGAGAAACTGTTGAAGTCGTCGTCCCCATCGCCGCACCGGTGAGCCAAACGGATGAACACACGCAGGGATCCAGAAGAAGATAAGGTCAAGCCAAAAAACTCCCAACACAGCACCTCCAACAGATGCAAGAGATAAACAAAGACAGCCCAAAAAGTGCAGGACACGAATGCTCGATCATCCTCCACGAACCCAACATCGCCGCACCGGTGAGCCAAACAGAATCATATCTTTGGGTACAATTTTTCCAGCCGATCGTTTAACTCCCAACTCCAAAAGCTGACGCTCAATCGGGCATTGCAGCTTTTACATTTCATTAGGCGAGTCGGTAGCTGCCCATCTGCTGTGGATACTGTCCCTGTCAGATGTCAATGGCTGCTTCTTCGTCTTCCTCATGGAAATACGACGTCTTCCTGAATTTCAGAGGCGAAGACACTCGCAAGATCTTTGTCGGCCATCTCTACGGAGCTCTGGGTCGGAAGGCAATCAACACCTTCATCGACGCCGAAAAGCTCAGAAAAGGCGACGACCTTTCGGAACTACTTTCAGCTATCGAAGAGTCGAGGCTTTCGATTGTGGTTTTCTCCCAGAACTACGCTTCTTCGACTTGGTGCTTGAAAGAACTGGTCAAAATCCTGGCGTGCATGGATACAAAGAAGCAGATAGTGGTGCCGATCTTCTACCAAGTTGATCCATCTGAAGTTCGTAAGCTCAAGAGAAGTTTTGCAGAAGCTTTTGCTCAACATGAACGCGAATCGAGCGCCGAAATGGAAGAGGTGAAGAGCTGGAGGTCCGCACTAACCAGAGCCACCAATTTATCCGGATGGGATTCGCGAAACTACGAGTAATTACTGTTCAATTATATTCTTAATTGAATTGGGATTTTTTGAGTATCTAGTTTAATTCGGTGCTGTTTTTCATATTACACAGGGATGATGCCAAGCTTATTGAGGAAATTGTGGATGACATATTTAAGAGATTGATCCAAGTCTCGTCAAGCAAAGATAATGGTTTGGTTGGAATGGGTTACCAGATGGATGAAGTGAATTCACTATTCCGTCCTGGGGTGAATGATGTTTTCACCGTTGGAATATGGGGTATGGGAGGTATAGGCAAAACCACCATCGCTCGCGCTGTTTATGATGAAAGCGCTTGGCAATTTGAGGCTTGCTGCTTTCTCGAAAATGTCAAGGAAGGCTTCTCGAATAATGGTGCAGTACATATGCAGGAAGTGCTTCTTTCCAGAATCTTGAAGGAAAAGGTGCAGGGTTTAGGCACGTTGGATCGTGGTTCCAGAATGATAATGGAAAGGCTACAAAGGAAAAAAGTTTTCATTGTTCTTGATGACGTTGATGAATTATCCCAAATCGAAGCCTTACTTGGACAGCAGCATTCATTTGGCGGTGGAAGTCGGGTCATTATAACAACTAGAGACAAACAATTATTATGTGGAGCTGGTGCTGTATATAAGCCCGAGAACTTAAGTGAGCCAGAAGCTCTTAAACTCTTCAACCAGTATGCCTTCAGAACAAACCAACCCACCAGAGTTTATGATCAGCTCTCAAGGGATGTCGTACAATATGCTCAAGGTCTGCCTTTAGCACTCAAAGTGTTGGGAGCTTTTCTTCATAACAAAACTGTGTGCGAGTGGGAAGATGTGTTGGAAAAAATAAGGAAAATCCCGCAAAAGGGAATTCATGATGTGCTTAAAACAAGCTTTGATGGACTAGATGAAACAGAGAAGAACATCTTTCTAGATATTGCATGTTTCTTGAAAGGAATGAATATAGACTCTGCAAAAAAAAGTCTGGACAGTTGTGGCTTCTATCCCCATACTGGAATAAGAGTTCTAATCGATCGAGCTCTCATATCTGTCTCAGAGTGGGGGACACTGGATATGCATGATTTACTAGAGGAAATGGGTCGGGAAATCGTTCGCCAAGAATTTATCAAAGAGCCTGGGAGAAGAAGTAGGTTGTGGAGTTATGAAGATGTTCATCATGTGCTGACTCAAAATACAGTGAGATCTTTGTCTTATGCAATGTTTCGTAGAAAGCTTCAGCTTTCGACCAAAATCTATTTTATAGCAAACATGCATTGTTTATAATATTCAATAAGGTTCTTGGTGTTTTCCTTCACTTTATTTTACATTGTTGGTTTATCCAGGCTACAGAAGCAGTTGAAGGCATAATCCTGGATTCAGCATTCTTTGAAGAGGGATGCTCAAATACTGAAGCTTTTGTTAGTATGACAAAACTAAGACTGCTCATGATCCATGATGGTTACCTTAACGAGTATGGGTTTGATTCATTTGACAGTCAAACTTCAAGTGAAGCAGAAGATGAGCTAGCATTCGGGGATTCATTTGACCATCGACCTCCACATGATTGCTTCATAAAACGCTGGATTGCGGACTTAAAGTTCCAATGTTCTCAGTTGCGGTGTCTCATCTGGAGTAGTTGCCCCCTCAAGTCTTGGCCATCCAACTTTCAGTTCAAGAATCTTGTAAACCTTGACATGAGAGAAAGTCGCATCGAACAACTTTGGAAAGGAGCTGAGGTATGATTTTTCATTTACATAAATATATTTATTTTCAGTGTTTAGGTTCTGAGATGTGTTGTGCATGTTTTCTTGGACTTTTTAACAGCCTCTGGAAAATTTGAAATTTATCGACTTAAGTTATTGTATATACCTTAAGAAAACCCCCGACTTCACAAAGGCTACAAGTCTTGAGGAACTAAATCTCAAAGGTTGTACAGGGTTATATGAGGTTGACCCATCCATTTCAGCTCTGAAAAACCTTGTTATATTGAATCTAGGAGACTGTCAAGAACTCAAGAGCCTGCCAAGCAGCATTCATATGGGATCTCTTCAAACCCTTAATCTTTCTGGTTGCTCAAACTTGGAGAAGTTTCCAGATATTTCAGATGGTATGGAGAAGCTATCATGGCTTCATTTAGATGGGACTGCAATTAAAGAACTGCCTTCGTCAATTAATAAACTCAGGGGCCTTACTGTTTTGGACCTAAGAGGCTGTCGAGAACTCAAGAGCCTGCCGAGCAGCATTCATATGGGATCTCTTCAAACCCTTAATCTTTCTGGTTGCTCAAACTTGGAGAAGTTTCCAGATATTTTGGATGTTATGGAGAATCTATCAGGGTTATATTTACAAGGGACTGCCATTAAAGAACTGCCTTCGTCAATTAATAAACTCACGGGCCTTACTGTTTTGAACCTATCTGAGTGTCAAGAACTCAAGAGCCTGCCGAGCTGCATTCATATGGGATCTCTTCAAACCCTTAATCTTTCTGGTTGCTCAAACTTTGAGAAGTTTCCAGATATTTCAGATGTTATGGAGAAGCTATCAGGGCTTTATTTAGATGGTACTGCCATTAAAGAAGTGCCTTCGTCAATTAATAAACTCACGGGCCTTACTGTTTTGGACCTACGAGGCTGTCGAGAACTCAAGAGCCTGCCAAGCAGCATTCATATGAGATCTCTTCAAACCCTTAATCTTTCTGGTTGCTCAAACCTTGAGATGTTTCTAGAGATTTCAGAAGTTATGGAGGAGTTGTCAAAGCTTTATTTAGATGGGACTGCAATTAAAGAACTACCTTCGTCAATTAAAAAACTCACAGGCCTTACTGTTTTGGACCTATCTGAGTGTCAAGAACTCAAGAGCCTGCCGAGCTGCATTCATATGGGATCTCTTCAAACCCTTAATCTTTCTGGTTGCTCAAACTTTGAGAAGTTTCCAGATATTTCAGATGTTATGGAGAAGCTATCAGGGCTTTATTTAGATGGGACTGCCATTAAAGAAGTGCCTTCGTCAATTAATAAACTCACGGGCCTTACTGTTTTGGACCTACGAGGCTGTCGAGAACTCAAGAGCCTGCCCAGCAGCATTCATATGAGATCTCTTCAAACCCTTAATCTTTCTGGTTGCTCAAACCTTGAGATGTTTCCAGAGATTTCAGAAGTTATGGAGGAGTTGTCAAAGCTTTATTTAGATGGGACTGCAATTAAAGAACTGCCTTCGTCAATTAATAAACTCACGGGTCTTCCAATTTTGGACCTAAGAGGCTGTCGAGAATTCAAGAACCTGCCGAGCAGCATTCAGATGGGATCTCTTCGAACCCTTGATCTTTCTCATTGCTCAAACTTTGAGAAGTTTCCAGATATTTCAGATGTTATGGAGAATCTATCAGAGTTATATTTACAATGGACTACCATTAAAGAACTGCCTTCGTCAATTAATAAACTCAGGGGCCTTACTGTTTTGGACCTAAGAGGCTGTCAAGAACTCAAGAGCCTGCCGAGCAGCATTCATATGGGATCTCTTCAAACCCTTAATCTTTCTGGTTGCTCAAACTTTGAGAAGTTTCCAGAGATTTCAGATGCTATGGAGAATCTGTCAGAGTTATATTTAGATGGGACTGCCATTAAAGAACTGCCTTCGTCAATTAATAAACTCACGGGCCTTACTGTTTTGAACCTATCTAGGTGTCAAGAACTCAAGAGCCTGCCTAGTAGCATTCATATGGGATCTCTTCAAACCCTTAATCTTTCTGGTTGCTCAAACCTTGAGAAGTTTCCAGAGATTTCAGATGCAATGGAGAATCTATCAAAGTTATATTTAGATGGGACTGCAATTAAAGAACTGCCTTTGTCAATTAGCAAACTCATGGGCCTTACTGTTTAGGGAATCTTCTTCTAGGGCCTGTTACGTTGAACCTAAGAGATTGCAAAAAACTCAAGTCTCCCAAGCAGCATTTGTGATCTCAAGTCCCTTCACTATCTTAGTCTTTCTGGTTGCCCAAAGTTTGAGGTGTTAGAATTCTGTAGAAACAATTTTGAGAGCTTGCCTGCAGAAATGAATTGGCTTCATTGGTTAACAAGTCTCAAATTCGAAGGTTGCAAGGGACTGAAATCAATACCAGAGATTTCATCAACTATAAGGTTCATAGATGCCCATATTTGCACAGCTTTGGAATCTGTTTCAAGACCGAGCAAGTTTTTACCCAAGAATCTTTACTAGACATTTTCAAACTGCTTCCAGCTGGTGCAAAATCTATTTGAAGATATTGTGGAAGCTCATCAGGTCTCTTTCTCTCTCTGTCTCTCTGTAGGCGCGAAAGTCCAGTTTACCTTTGTTTTTATTCTGCAGGGTAATCTGCAACCTCTTTCCTTGTTTATGTAGAGTCAATTTAGTCATATATATAGTCCCTTCATGATATATGAAAAGCATACATAGATTAAATAACTCAACATCGATCATTAACTCATCATATTATCAAGATAGTCACCATACCGTATCCGACATGAAACCAAGAAAACAATAGTCATCAGTCAACATTTGATCACAACAGATGAAGGGGAAATTTAAGAAGTCACAAAAAGGGAAACAAGTGAATCTTAAATAACAAAACGTCTTATTCATCACCATGTGATTTATCAGAAAATTTTAAAAAATTCAAGAAGAGAATTTCTGATGTGAATCACCCAGATAACAAAATGCTAAATTTTAATCAGAGATTACCTTTGTAGAATATGATAGTCAGCGGAAGCATAAATATAGTGTTATTGAATCACTTGTCGTCAAGAAATAAAGGAATTAGAGAAAGAATTCTCCAGGTCGAAGTCATTCAGTACCGGAAAGTGTAAAGAACACCATACTGATGCAACGGTCAAAAACGAAAATCCTTTTTGATGTTTCTCTCTCCCTGTTCTAACGGTCAAAAGTTTAAAATATCTAATTAAGAGAAAACGACGTAGTTTTTTTTTTTTTTTTTTTTTTTTTTTTTAAGTTTTCTCCTATCTTTCACCGTCTCCTTTGTTCTTAAGATCAACGTGGTTAACAATTGTTAATTAACAAAACAAATTCGTTGAATTCAATTGCAAGAACCACAAGGCTCTGATACCACATGTTAAACTAAACTCAAAATACTAGGAATTGTTCTAGCAATCAAACCACAACAAGTCTGTTTAAATCAAGAACGAGAAGAACATGACTAACCTGTAGATGAGGAAGATGATGTAGAAACCATCCTGACACAGAAACTTCTCCTCTCTTGCAAGATCTCAATGCTCAATCAAACAATAGGTATTTGATTCTCAATAGAGTCAGTATCTTGTGAGAGCAGCAGCCCATGTTATTTATACTGCGAAAAACAACTTGATTGCCCTATTACAATCCTATAAGGAATACTAAACCATAATTCTTATCCAAGCATGAGTCTTAATCCAAGTAAGTTGATGAGTCTCAATTCTATAAAATGGAATAACTCCAATTACGCATAGACTTCTTCATATTAATTCAAAACACTTTAATGATCATTACAAGCCTTGCAAGAATCACACTCACACTTTAACATCGGCATCATCGTTTTGACAGATCTCAAATTGGAAGGTTGCAAGAGAATGAAATCAATAACAGAGCTTTCATCAAGCATAAATTTCATAGACGCCCATGATTGCACAGCTTTGGAAACTGTTTCAGGACCAAAGCTTCTTTACAGTAATCTTTACTTCACATTTTCAAACTGCTTCCAGCTGGTGCAAAATCTATTTGAAGAAATTGCTGAAGCTCATCAGGTCTCTCTCTCTCTCTCTCTCTCCACGTGCGAAGGTACGAAACATATCTAATACAAGTTCAGTCTACCTTGTTTTCGTTCTGTAGGGTTATCTGCAAACTCTTTCCTTGTTTATGTACCTTCCTGGAAGTAAACTTTCAGATTGGTTCAGTCATCAGTGTAGTGGATCTTCAGTAACTGTGCATCTACCACCGGTGTCGGATCATAAGATTTTGGGATTTGCTGTATGCGGTTTTACTAAGTTCAAGTACGCGCATTATGTGTCTGATCTATCTGCCCTGTGTTTTTGTACCTCCAAAGGAGAGCACGGCGAGCTCAGTTTCAGATTTGATTTGCTTGATTGGAGTCACAAGTGACAGGTTGCTTGAGTCAGATCACATGTTCATGGGATATCTTCCATTGAAAATAGGAGTGCAGCTAAGTGAGCGCTATACCACCGAGGCCACATTTAGAGTTGAACTAAAAGATGGAGTCCAATCACGTGATTCTTGGGCACCAGTGCAGCAGCATCGCATCAGAAGGTGTGGAGTTCGTCGCTTTTATGCCAACCATGAGGAGGTGCATGCATAACAAAAGCATGACACAGCCCGACTTTCGTCATGAAAATTCTGGAGCGGAACTTCGTGCTATATGCAGATCACTGGTAAGAGTTGCTCATTCTAAGAGGAACCGTGAGGGGTGTTGCTATAATGAGGCTGAACAAAGTGGGGGTGAAACCCCTGATGAAGGATTTACATTCTAAAAGATTGGTACTTCCTGATGGGGCAAACGAAAACTGAAGAGAATAACTCCTGTGTGTTGGATTTGATGGCTTAGTTCTGTTGGGTCTCGACCCTTTCTTACGCGGACCTAAAACCAAACTGTTGTGGCTCTTTAGTTGGCATATGCGGATCGCATGCTAGGTCTTTTTAGTGCTCGTATATAAAGCCTCACATTGTGCAATTTGGATGAGAGGGTGGGAACCGAAGCAGCTGCACCAGTGTGACGGAAAGAGGAGCCGAAACCCAATAGAAGAGAGAAATAATTGGGAGCTGCTGCATTTAAGGTTTTGTAAGAGTGAATCCAATTAGAGATTGTTGTAGTTGCAGAGAGACAAATATTTTGTTTCTAATTCGTTTTTTCCCTCTTCTATTTGTGTTTGTATTTGGGTGTATTTTGGGTTTGAGTTTGAGAGCTTTCTTTGTAATCTCGTTTTGTTTATTAGTGGAACTTCCTCGCTGTCCCCAAACTGGATGTAGGTTTACGCCGAACCAGTATAAATCTTTATGTCATTTTGAATTGTTTGCTTTGTCATATTTTTCCGTGTTAGTTTATTGGTTTCAAACTAGCGCTTCCGCACAACACTCTGAACCCTAGTGAAGGTGGAGAGGAGCTTGTTGTATTTGGAAGTGCCGATTCAGATAATTTGAGTCATCCAATTTGACATTGACGGAGGTGGAGAGGAGCTTCTTGTAATGTTAATTCAACATTAGAACAAGAGAAATAGCTCCATGTGCTGAAATTGAAGAATTCAGTTGCAAACAACACATTTATTTTGCTCATCAGAACAAGATTAATAAGAATAATTAAGTTTTTAATTGCCCAATTATTCCGTCCCATACGAATTTAGAATATGGAGGACGTGTTTCTGCATTGTTTTCAAATGTCCTAAGCACTTTGTAGAGCTGTAGTAACTTTGCAACCACAAGACATCAATACCAACTACCAAGTACCCTTAATTACTCTTCCAGATGTCTCATATATTCTTCGTGTTGACATGAACGAGTGATTTTTTTTTAATGAATTGTATTATGACTCTTGATGTTCGAGTAGTGTACCGGCCACACGAAAAAATTTCTCAACATGAACACAACCCAAAGGCACCGCTGCTAATTACTCATAAGAATACAAAGGTTACATGAAAGAAAAAGGTTAGACTTCTCATTTTACGTTCAACTTAAATGAATTGCACACAAGTTATTTTATTATGCAATTATGTAAAGCGTGCTAAAGTGTGCGTCACTTACAGATTAGGTGGGTTGGATGTGGGTTGGATGGAGACACAAACTCTTATTAACCATGTTAAATGGGTCAACACGATTATGCCCGACTGAAACAAATTTATTTTTTGTCTTTTCCAAGTTGGATTGTTGAATCTGTCTAAAATTGTTACCTCTACTCTTTCTTGGCACTTTCTACCTAAATTCGAGCAAAAACAATGAAAGGTACGTCCGAACAAAAATACAATAAAGGTACTGTTGACTCTAAAAATTACAAAACCTACGTGGCGCGCAGGCCGAGTAACTAATAAGCTAACTACGTCCTTCGGTTGAATGCGGGGCGTGCCAACTCGTCGGCCGAGCTCGGCCGAGGAGTAAAATTTGATGATGTCGTGTTGAGCGCGCTGTTGACTTCTGTATCTTGCGACTGCGACCGAGGAAGGAACGCTCTCGGTCTCTGGGTTCTATAGCGTGAAGACAAGGCTACTAATTCGACGGAGTTCACCAATCGTCGGAGCCTGATTCGGTCACTGTGATTATATTCGTAAGAGTATAAGCACGCCGAATCGAGACTAAACTATATGGGCACAAGTACTCGAATGTGATGTATGTCTTGATGGTAAACGTAGTTCGGCCGTTGGAATGCCGAACCCTGAAACTTACTTGCGAGTATCCAATCATAAAATCACTCGGCGTTCAAGGCGTCGAGCAATACAACTCGTAACACCCAACTATGCCGAAAAGGCTAGTAAGATGACCTCTACCAACAAGGGTTCGAAAACCCTTCTCGGTCGAGACTTAGATAGATAATCGGTCGACCCCGACGCAGTGCTGTTTATCCAAACTGAAGGTGCTCCTTGGTCGGCTGATTCTGCGGCAGCAGTGCTGTTTATCCAAACTGAAGATGCTCGTCGGGTGCTTCCACAGTGCTGTTTATCCAAACTGAAGGTGTGTCGGCAGGAAAAGAAAAGAAAAATCTCAAGGTGTTTGAGAGGTTTTGCGCAGGGCAATTGTATGCTGAATTTGAAGGGGGCTTTTCTATTGCGTAATTTCTTGTATTTATAGCACCCCGTTCCTTGAAACCCATTCTGATTTGGATTGGGAGTCCTTGTCCCATTTCGACTCTAACTCGAACAAACCTACTCCCACTGGGGTTCTGAATTTTCCTTCTTTTCGAGACTCCATGCCTTGCCGGTCGAGACTCCTGGTCGCACCAGGACTTCCTCAACCTTTTCTATTCATCTGGACTTCTTAGGATAGGATTTGGCCAACCCTGCCAGCTGGCCCGGGTTTCATTATTCGGCCCATAGCATTTGTCATCACCTTGGGCCGAGCACATCTTGCTGCTCGGCCCAACCAGAGTATTTTGGGCCCAAACAGGTACATATTTCAATAACTTTCATATTTTTAATAGAAAAACGCGCATGCAAGTAGCTTTTATTATAGTGGAAGAGAAAAATGTTGCTCTTACACGATGAAGTAGATTCAAACTTTGTTGGGTCTTTAGAGTCATTTTCAATGAAGAGGGCTAATGGTTCAAAAGCTAAAAAATGGTTTGATTTGTTCAAAAATCTATCTCCAACCGATGGTTGGACTATAACCTATTGAGCCCATCAAACCACTTTTTGGCTAAATGAGCATCAAGATGACCGAATATAGCCTTTTTTGGGACCCCATCTTCTCACTCGAAATAATTGATTTAAATTCAACGGCTAATTTGAAAACTTCAAACGGTAGTTTAGTTAAATTAACAAATAAATTTAAAGTATAAACTTAAAACTAATAAATTATTGAGCGGGCTATGTTTAGCCTTGGAGATTGTAGATGAGTATGATCTGATACCATTTATTTAAAAATAATATTTTACAAGGCTATAATTCTAAAAGTAGCTTTGACCATTTTTAATTAGATATGGTCTAATTTAACATATAATCTAACAAATCTATCATTTAAAAAAAATAAACAAAATAAAAAAACGCGCATTATTCTCATCATCGACTCATTGACTTTCTTAGGCTACATTTTTTCTCCTGCAATGGGTTTTTATTTCGGAGGGTTGGTGTGGAAGGATAAGAGTGCACAGGGTGAGAAGCCCTATTGTTGTAGTGTCGCTGCCACCACTCAAAACCCAAACCCTCTTTGGACGAGAGGTTGAGAACCGAAGCAGCTGCACTAGTGTGGCGGAAAGAGGAGCCGAAACCCAATAGAAGAGAGAAATAATTGGGAGCTGCTGCATTTAAGGTTTTGTAAGAGTGAAAACAATTAGAGATTGTTGTAGTTGCAGAGAGACAAATATTTTGTATCTATTCGTTTTTTCCCTCTCCTTTTTGTGAGTGTATTTGGGTGTATTTTGGGTTTGAGTTTGACATCATTCTTTGTAATCTTGTTTTGTTTATCAGTGGAACTTCCTCGTTGTTCTCGAACTGGATGCAGGCTTACACAGAATCAGTATAAATCTGTGTCATTTTGAATTGGTTGTTTTGTCATATATTTCCGTATTATTTTATTGGTTTCAAATTAGCGCTTTCGCACAACTCTGAACCCCAGTGAAAGTGGAGAGAAGCTTGTTGTATTTGGAAGTGCCAATTCAGACAATTTGAGTCATCTAATTTGACATTGACAGAGGTTGAGAGAAGCTTGTTGTAATGTTAATTCAACTCGATGTGCTGAAATTGAAGAATTCAGTTGCAAGCAAATTTATGTTGCCCATCAGAAGTAAATAGAATAATTAAGTTTTTAATTGCCCAATTCCGTTCCCATATGAATTTAGAATAGGGTTTTTTTATTAGCACCCCACATTATGTTGAATACACCATATTTTAAAATTTAATATTTAATAAGTTATATACCTTAATGTGAATGACAATTTCGACCTCATAAAGTTTTAAAAATAAAATTAAAAAAACCTCTAAATACACCCAAAATCACTTTTAACATGTATATCCTAAGATTAATTATCTTCTTCAACTCTCAAAACCACTATTACCTTCCTCCGTTAGATGTAACAATTTACCGTGTTAAATTGCTGTCTCAAGTTTGGCAATGAGACATGCTAGCTTATTCGTCAAAAACCTGTAACTTTGTCACAAGAATCATATATAATAAAAAATAAAAAAAATCGTTCTTATTAGACTTGTACAAATAGCATACAATTGTCAATTTGCAGATTTTTAAGATTAGTTTGGGCTTACTTTCTGTCAGACCCTTTAAATACCTCGGAATGTTTCATACAACAACAATCTTTTATATATGCTTTATTCCCTTATTTTATTAGTGGTTTTAATAAATAAAAAAATTGGGTAAACATGATTTCACAGTAACTAATTTCTAATGGTAGCGGAGGAAACTAATATTAATGGTTTATTTCTTCTGATGTGGTTAGAATTTTGTAAAGCAATGGAGGGAAGTAGCAAATTTAAAAAGGTTTAGACAATCTCATGCGAAATATTATAGTAGTTTTCTGTAGTTTTTTGCCGAAATTTTTCATGGTTTTTTCATTATCAAAGAGTAAGCTAGCTTCTGGAAAAGTATGAAGCAATTCAAAAATAGAATTCATTTATGTTCAGCATTTCTAGATCCCTTTTTGTTACAAAGTGATGGATTGTAAAATATTTTTTCCGTTAATGGTGGATTCTCAAATCTATATGCTTATTTTTTTAAAGGAATGAGAAATAATATAGAAACCACCTATTCGAAGAAACAAGTAAGATTTTTGGTTGATATTATGTATTTGCACTTAAGAAGCAAAGAGTGTGGGGTGTATGTAGAAAATGTGGGGTTTATGTAGGGAATTTACGGTGTATGTTGAAAGTTGGGGTGTGAGGGTATTGTGAGAAAGTATGTGGGGTGTATTAAGATACATTTTAATTAAAAAAGTAAATGTGGGGTATATTAAGTATGTGAGGTACATTCAACTATATATAGGGTGTTAGTATAATAAACCTTTAGAATATGGAGGACGTGTTTCAAATAGCCACAAGACAAAAATACCAAGTACCCTTAATTACTCTTCTAGATGTCTTAGATTCATGTTGACACGAACGGGAGATTTTTTTAGTTTGATAGCACACGGCTCGGTACACTAAATTTAATAATATAATTGGTTGAAAGCTTTAAAAAAAAAATTCTAACAAATTATATTATGATTCTTAATGTACCAAGCAGTGTGCCGGACACACGAAAAAATTTCTCGACATGAACACAACCCAAAGGCGCCACTATTAGTTACTCATAAGAATACAAAGTTTACATGAAAGAAACAAATTAAACGTATCATTTCACGTTTAACTTAAATGATTTGCACACGAATTACCTAATTACGCGATTATGTAGCGTGCTAAAGTGCATATCACTTTGGCATTAGGTGGGTTTGATGGAAACACAAACGTTAATTAACCATGTTAAATGGGTCAACACGACTGTGCCCAACTCAAACAAATTTATTTTTTGTCTTTTTCAAGTCGGATTGTCGAATCTGTCTAAAATTGTTACCTCTACTCTTTCTTGGCACTTTCTACCCAAATTCGAACAAAAACAATGAAGCTACATCCGGACAAAAACACAATAAACGGTACATCGTCCAACAACTTTCATATTTTTAATAGAAAAACATGCATGCAATTGGCTTTTTATTTCATTGGAAGAAGAGGAATGTTATCTTTACACCAAAGCGTAGATTGAATTTTATTGATTTTTTAATCTAACATCTAATTTAATAAAATATATCATTTAACAATAAAAAAAATAAAAAAATGCATTATTCTAATTCTTTTTTTCCCTCTTCTATTTGTGAGTGTAATTGGGTGAATTTTGGGTTTGAGTTTCACAGCATTCTTTGTAATCTCGTTTTGTTTATTAGTGAAACTTCCTCACTCTTAAAATATATCATTTACCAAGATGATGCCAAGCTTATTGAGGAAATTGTGGATGACATATTTAAGAGATTGATCCAAGTTTCGTCAAGCAAAGATAATGGCTTGGTTGGAATGGATTACCACATGGATGAAGTAAATTCACTATTACGTCCTGGGGTGAATGATGTTTTCACCGTTGGAATATGGGGTATGGGAGGTATAGGCAAAACCACCATCGCTCGCGCTCTTTATGATGAAATCGCTTGTCAATTTGAAGCTTGCTGCTTTCTCGAAAATGTCAAGGAAGGCTTCTCCAATAATGGTGCAGTACATATGCAGGAAGTGCTTCTTTCTAGAATCTTGAAGGAAAAGGTGCAGAGTTTAGGCACGTTGGATCGAGGTTCCAGAGTGATAATGGAAAGGCTACAAAGGAAAAAAGTTTTCATTGTTCTTGATGACGTTGATGAATTATCCCAAATCGAAGCCTTACTTGGAAAGCAGCATTCATTTGGCGGTGGAAGTCGGGTCATTATAACAACTAGAGATAAACAATTATTAAGTGGAGCTGGTGCTGTATATAAGCCCGAGAACTTAAGTGAGCCAGAAGCTCTTAAACTCTTCAACCAGTATGCCTTCAGAACAAACCAACCCACCAGAGTTTATGATCAGCTCTCAAGGCGTGTAATACAATACGCTCAAGGTCTGCCTTTAGCACTCAAAGTCTTGGGAGCTTTTCTTGATAACAAAACTGTACGTGAGTGGGAAGATGTGTTAGAAAAAATAAGGAAGATCCCGCAAAGGGGAATTCATAATGTGCTTAAAACAAGCTTCGATGGACTAGATGATTCAGAGAAGGACATCTTTCTAGATATTGCATGTTTCTTGAAGGGAATGAAAAAAGACTATGCAACTGCAATTCTGGACAGTTGTGGTTTCTATCCTCATACTGGAATAAAAGTTCTAATTGACCGAGCTCTTATATCTGTCTTGGACAAGGGGCAACTGAAGATGCATGATTTACTAGAAGAAATGGGTTGGGAAATCGTTCGCCAAGAATGTACCAAAGAGCCTGGGAGGAGAAGTAGGCTGTGGAGTTATGAAGATGTTCGTCATGTGCTGACTCAAAAAACAGTGAGATATCTTTGACCAAAATCTATTTTATAGCAAACATGCATTGTTTATAATATTCACTAAGGTTGTCAGTGTTTTCCTTCACTTTAAATTACATTGTTGGTTTATCCAGGCTACAGAAGCAGTTGAAACCATGATCCTGGATTCGACAATCTTGAAAGAGGGATGCTCAAATACTGAAGCTTTTGTTAGTATGACAAAACTAAGACTGCTCATGATCCGTGATGATGCTGATACTTACACCAAGCACTTTGACAGATATCGTCTTGCAGTCAAGGATTCATTTGGCCATCAAACTCCAAGTGGTAGCTTCATAGAGCACTGGATTGCAGACTTAAAGTTCCAATCTTCTCAGTTCAGGTGTCTCCTCTGGCGTTATTACCCCCTAAAGTCTTGGCCATCCAACTTTCAGTTCAAGAATCTTGTAAACCTTGACATGAGCTATAGTTGCATCGAACAACTTTGGAAAGGAGCTGAGGTACGATTTTTCATTTACGTAAATTTATTATTTTCAATGTTTAGGTTCTGAGTTGTCCATGTTTTCTTGGACTTTTTAACAGCCTCTGGAAAAGTTGAAATTCATCAATTTAAGTCATTGTCAATACCTTAAGAAAACCCCTGACTTCACAAGGGCTACAAGTCTTGAGGAACTGAGTTTCGCAGGTTGTACAAGGTTATGTGAGGTGGACCCATCCATTTCTGCTTTGAAAAACCTTGCTATATTGAATCTACGTTGGTGCAATGATCTTAAGATTCTTCCGAGCATCACTGGTATGAAGTCTCTTAATCTTTCTGGTTGCTCAAACTTTGAGAAGTTTCCAGATATTTCAGATGCTATGGAGAATCTGTCAGAGTTATATTTAGATGGGACTGCGATTAAAGAAATGCCTTAGTCAATTAATAAACTCACGGGCCTTACTGTTTTGGACCTACGAGGCTGTCGAGAACTCAAGAGCCTGCCGAGCAGCATTCATATGGGATCTCTTCAAACCCTTAATCTTTCTGGTTGCTCAAACTTGGAGAAGTTTCCAGATATTTCGGATGTTATGGAGAAGCTATCAGAGCTTTATTTAGATGGGACTGCAATTAAAGAACTGCCTTCGTCAATTAATAAACTCACGGGCCTTCCTGTTTTGGACCTACGAGGCTGTCGAGAACTCAAGAGCCTGCCGAGCAGCATTCTTATGGGATCTCTTCAAACCCTTAATCTTTCTGGTTGCTCAAACTTTGAGAAGTTTCCAGATATTTCGGATGTTATGGAGAGGTTATCAAAGCTTTATTTAGATGGGACTGCAATTAAAGAACTGCCTTCGTCAATTAATAAACTCACGGGCCTTACTGTTTTGAACCTACGAGGCTGTCAAGAACTCAAGAGCCTGCCGAGCAGCATTCATATGGGATCCCTTCAAACCCTTAATCTTTCTGGTTGCTCAAACTTGGAGAAGTTTCCAGATATTTTGGATGTTATGGAGAAGCTATCAGAGCTTGATTTAAGTAGGACTGCAATTAAAGAACTGCCTTCGTCAATTAATAAACTCACGGGCCTTACTGTTTTGGACCTACAAGGTTGTCGAGAACTCAAGAGCTTGCCGAGCAGCATTCATATGGGATCTCTTCAAACCCTTGATCTTTCTGGTTGCTCAAACTTGGAGAAGTTTCCAGATATTTTGGATGTTATGGAGAAGCTATCAGAGCTTGATTTAAGTAGGACTGCAATTAAAGAACTGCCTTCGTCAATTAATAAACTCACGGGCCTTACTGTTTTGGACCTACCAGGTTGTCGAGAACTCAAGAGCTTGCCGAGCAGCATTCATATGGGATCTCTTCAAACCCTTGATCTTTCTGGTTGCTCAAACTTGGAGAAGTTTCCAGATATTTCGGATGTTATGGAGAGGCTATCAGAGCTTTATTTAGATGGGACTGCAATTAAAGAACTGCCTTCGTCAATTAATAAACTCACGGGCCTCACTGTTTTGGACCTACGAGGTTGTCGACAACTCAAGCGCTTGCCGAGCAGCATTCATATGGGATCTCTTCAAACCCTTAATCTTTCTGGTTGCTCAAACTTGGAGAAGTTTCCAGATATTTCGGATGTTATGGAGAAGCTATCAGAGCTTTATTTAGATGGGACTGCAATTAAAGAACTGCCTTTGTCAATTAATAAACTCACGGGCCTTCCTGTTTTGGACCTACGAGGCTGTCGAGAACTCAAGAGCCTGCCGAGCAGCATTCATATGGGATCTCTTCAAACCCTTGATCTTTCTGGTTGCTCAAACTTGGAGAAGTTTCCAGATATTTTGGATGTTATGGAGAAGCTATCAGATCTTGATTTAAGTAGGACTGCAATTAAAGAACTGCCTTCGTCAATTAATAAACTCACGGGCCTTACTGTTTTGGACCTACGAGGCTGTCGAGAACTCAAGAGCCTGCCGAGCAGCATTCATATGGGATCTCTTCAAACCCTTGATCTTTTTGGTTGCTCAAACTTGAAGAAGTTTCCAGATATTTCGGATATTATGGAGAGGCTATCAGAGCTTTATTTAGATGAGACTGCCATTAAAGAACTGCCTTCGTCAATTAATAAACTCACGGGCCTTACTGTTATGGACCTACGAGGCTGTCGAGAACTCAAGAGTCTGCCGAGCAGCATTCATATGGGATCTCTTGAAACCCTTAATCTTTGTGGTTGCTCAAACTTTGAGAAGTTTCCCGATATTTCAGATGTTATGGAAAGGCTATCGGAGCTTTATTTAGATGGGACTGCCATTAAAGAACTGCCTTCGTCAATTAATAAACTCACGGGCCTTACTGTTATGGACCTACCAGGCTGTCGAGAACTCAAGAGTCTGCCGAGCAGCATTCATATGGGATCTCTTCGAACTCTTAATCTTTCTGGTTGCTCAAACTTTGAGAAGTTTCCAGATATTTCAGATGTTATGGAGAAGCTATCAGAGCTTTATCTAGATGAGACTGCAATTAAAGAACTGCCTTCGTCAATTAATAAACTCACGGCCCTTACTGTTTTGGACCTACGAGGCTGTCGAGAACTCAAGAGCCTGCCGAGCAGCATTCTTATGGGATCTCTTCAAACCCTTAATCTTTCTGGTTGCTCAAACTTTGAGAAGTTTCCAGATATTTCAGATGTTATGGAGAAGCTATCAGAGCTTTATCTAGATGGGACTGCAATTAAAGAACTGCCTTCGTCAATTAATAAACTCACGGGCCTTACTGTTTTGGACCTACGAGGCTGTCAAGAACTCAAGAGTCTGCCGAGCAGCATTCATATGGGATCTCTTCAAATCCTTAATCTTTCTGGTTGCTCAAACTTTGAGAAGTTTCCAGATATTTCAGATGTTATGGAGAAAGTATCAGGGCTTTATTTAGATGGGACTGCCATTAAAGAACTGCCTTCGTCAATTAATAAACTCACCGGCCTTGCTACTTTGGACCTAACAGGCTGTCGAGAACTCAAGAGCCTAGCAGTCATATGGGATCTCTTCAAACCCTTAAGCTTTCTGGTTGCTCAAACCTTGAGAAGTTTCGAGATTTCAGATGTTATGGAGAAGCTATCAGAGCTTTATTTAGATGGGACAGCAATTAAAGAACTGCCTTGGTCAATAAGAAATCTTCCGAGGCTTGTTACGTTGAACCTAAGAGATTGCAAAGAACTCAAGAGTTTTCCAAGCAGCATTTGTGATCTCAAGTCCCTTCAGTATGTTAGTCTTTCTGGTTGCACAAAGTTTGAGGTGTTTGCAAACATTGTAGAAAAGATGGGACTAAGAGAACTTCACTTGCACGGAACATCTATCAAAAGAATTCCACCGTCAATTGAATGTCTTCACGGGCTTGTGTTACTGAATCTGAGAAACTGCAAAAGCCTTGGCAGTCTTCCAGATGATCTCTGTAATTTGGTTTCCCTTACTGTTCTCATTCTCTCTGGATGCTCAAAGCTTCAAAACTTGCCGGAGAAGTTGGGAAATTTAGAATCCTTGTGGAACCTTGAAGTAGAGGGAAGTGGTATAAAACAACTCCCACTTTCTTTATTACGTTTGAACAAGCTTATAAGGTTATCATGTCATGGATGTAAAGAAATGACGGCACCCTTTTCATCATGGTCAACATCAATGGAAGATTGTAGTCACCGTGGTCTGGTACATCTTGATTTAAGTGACTGCAATCTGTTGGAATTATCGGGTATTGCTCATTTATCATCATTGAAAACATTAGACCTGTGCAGAAACAATTTTGAGAGCTTGCCTGCAGAAATGAATCGGCTTCATCGTTTAACAGATCTCAAATTGGAAGGTTGCAAGAGACTGAAATCAATACCAGAGCTTTCATCAATTATAAGTTTCATAGATGCCCATGATTGCACGGCTTTGGAATCTGTTTCAAGACCAAAGCTTCTTTACAGGAATCTTTACTTCACATTTTCAAACTGCTTCCAGCTGGTGCAAAATCTATTTGAATATATTGTGGAAGCTCATCAGGTCTCTCTCTCTCTCTCTCTCCCTCCCCTGTGCGAAAGTACGAAACATATCTAATGCAAGTTCAGTTTACCTTTGTTTTCGTTCTGTAGGGTAATCTGCAACCTTTTTCCTTGTTTATGTGTCTTCCTGGAAGTAAACTTTCAGATTGGTTCAGCCATCAGTGTAGTGGATCTTCAGTAAGTGTGCATCTACCACCAGTGTCGGATCATAAGATTTTGGGATTCGCTGTGTGCGGTGTTACTAAGTTCAAGTATGCACATTATACATCTGATATATCTGCTCCGTGTTTTTGTACCTTCAAAGGAGAGCATGGCGAGTGCAGTTTCAGATTTGATTTGATTGATTGGAGCTTCGCAAGTGGCAGGTTACTTGAGTCAGAACACATGTTCATGTTATATATTCCATGGGAAAATGGAGTGCAGCTAAGTGAGCGCTATCCCACTGAGGCCACATTTAGAGTTGAACTAAAAGATGGTGTCCAAACACGTGATTCTGTGGCACCAGTGCAGCAGCATCACATCATCAGGTGTGGAGTTCGTCTCTTTTATGCCAATCGTGTAGAGTTGCATAATCGAAGCATGACACAGCCCAACTATCTGTCATGAAAATTCTGAAGCGGAACTTCATGCTTTTGACAAATCACTGGTAAGAGTTGCTCATTCTAAGAGGAACCGTGAGGGGTGTCGCTATAACGAGGCTGAACAAAGTGGAAGTGATACCCCTGACGCGAGGATTTACAGTCTAAAAGATCGGTACTTCCTGATGGGGCAAAGGAAAACTGAAGAGAATAACTCCTGTGTGTTGGATTTGATGGCTCAGTTCTATTGAGTCTCGACCCTTTCTACGTGGACCTAAAGCCAACTTGATGTGGCTCTGTAGTTGGCATATGCGGATCACATGCTAGGTCTTTTTAGTGCTCGTATGTAAAGCCTTGCATTGTGTAATTTGGACGAGAGGGTGACAACCGAAGCAGCTGCACTAGTGTGACGGAAAGAGGAGCCGAAACCCAATAGAAGAGAGAAATAATTGGGAGCTGCTGCATTTAAGGTTCTGTAAGAGTGAAACCAATTAGAGATTGTTGTAGTTGCACAGAGACGATTTTGTTTGTAATTCGTTTTTTCTCTCTTCTGTTTGTGAGTGTATTTGGGTGTATTTTGGGTTTGAGTTTGAGAGCACTCTTTGTAATCTCCTTTTGTTTATTAGTGGAACTTCCTCGCTGTCCCTGAACTGGATGTAGGCTTACGCCGAACCAGTATAAATATTTGTGTCATTGTGAATTGTTTGTTTTGTCGTATTTTTCTGTTTTAGTTTATTAGTTTTAAATTAGCGCTTCCACACAACACTCTGAACCCCAGTGAAGGTGGAGAGGAGCTTCTTGTATTTGGAAGTGTCAATTCAGATAATTTGAGTCATCCAATTTGACATTGACAGAGGTGAAGAGAAGCTTGTTGTAATGTTAATTCAACATTAGAACAAGAGAAATAGCTGATGTGCTGAAATTGAAGAATTCAGTTGCAAACAACACATTTATGTTGCTCACCAGAGCAAGATTAATTGAAATAATTAAGTTTTTAATTGCCCAATTCCGTCCTATATGAATTAAGAATATGGAGGACACGTTTCTGCAATGTTTTCAAATGTCCTAAGCCCTTTGTAGAGCTGTAGTAACTTTGTAGTCACAAGACATAAATACCAAGTACCCTTAATTACTCTTCCAAATGTCTCAGGTTCGTGACGAGAGATTTTTTAGTGTAATGGGCACACAGTTTGATAGACTAAGTTTAATAATATAGTTGGATGAAAACTTGAAGAAAAAAAATTCTAACAAATTGTATTATCATTCTTGTGTACCAAGTAGTGTGCCAGCCACATCCAAAGGCATCACTATTTGTTACTCGTAAGAATACAAAGTTTACGTGAAAGGAAAAGATTAAACTTATCATTTCATGTTCAACTTAAATGACTTGCACACAAATTATCTAGTTACGCGATTGTGTAAGCGTGCTAAAATGTAATTCACTTTCGGATCAGGTGGGTTGGATGGAAACACAAACTCTTATTAGCCATGTTAAATGGGTCAACGCGATTATGCCCAACTCAAACAAATTTATTTTTTGTCTTCGCAATGAGAAAATTGGTCAAACAAATTCTCATTTAAAATGTAGTTTCTTGTTTGACAAGATATGTAATATATTATATAAAATATAAAGTTTGATATGAATTGCACTCTTAGTATTTATGATTGCATTGGTAAAATTTAATATGTTTTGAATCAAACTAAGGTTTCAACCGCCACCAATGAATTTTTGCTATCTTGAGCTAAGACCACTTTCGCATGCTAATAGTTTTGCCAAATCACGTCCGCGCACTAATTTATCTGTTTAAGAGTCTTTCTAAAAAAATGAGAAAAACGTAATTTGACTGTTTAAACTAACTATAATTGTGTGTGACATAAAAAATTAAAAGTATTTTTGAGTCATAATTAAAAAAGATTTTTGGACAAGGTGCACCTAATCTCATGTAGATACGAAGAGACATTTGTCCCCATTGTGCATGTTGAGCTGGTAACTTGAGTGCAACAAATTTTGCACGAGATCTTAATCTGCTGCTCTCTTTCTTTCGAGCCTAAGCCTACATTGCTTAGTATTGGAACGTTTTCAAGTATAGACTTTGGTTCTTGTCAAATGCTTTTTGAAGAAATACTTAAAACATAAGTGATTATCAACGAAAGTGCTTATCAACGAAAGTGCTTCCTACGTAAACATTTCCAAACGAGGTTTCTTTGGCTACCTACCATCTTTCAGCCTCTTTGAGGCATTTTGAACCAAAGAAACTTGAAAGTGACGCATTCTCAAGATCCCTAATAATTCAACTCAAACTTTTCAGCAATTTAATAAAAACATGTATTTGGGTGTTGACTATTGTGCTATCTTTGTTGCTTACAGTACAAGTTACTCCCAAAATTACAGAGAAATTTCACCAACATTTACTTAACTATCGGCCAATCACGCTGTCGTTACCTTTCAATCAACCCCTTTGATTTCGCTTCTGCAACGACAGTATACAATCTCGGTCGCTTACCTTGATTCCTGCATCTCAGTTTGAGTTTATGAAAGCTAACTATGGGCTGTGAAGCTACCTTCAGCAAATTCTACTGACATTACGGCTTTTCTCTTCTTCATTGTGTCCAGGTTCCGCACTTTCATTCCTCCCACCAAGTCCGCGGCGCTTCCATCAAAACGGCAAGCGTTTTTCATTTGTACAACAGTAGAATTTGCTCACAGCCCAATTTGTTCTCAAAACAGCAACTAAATTGAAAAAACCAACACAACGACGATACTTATTGCACGCGAAGGCTGGAAAATGTGGTGACCAGAGAGAGAGGAGTTGTGTACGTTGAGCTTAATCTTATAGACATATCAGAGTCCTCTGCAGAATTTCCAGACATACATTTCGCATGAGGGCATGCCTTTGTCACCTTAACACAGTAAGTTCATCTCAACAGTGTGAAATTTGCTCGGGAACAAAACAATGACTTGCAATCAGAACCCAAAATGCGTAACTTCCTACCCGAAAATAATGAAAGAAGAACTCTGTACACGAAATTCGTAGCACAAACTATCAAATTTGATTACTTGTTTACGCACCAGCAGCTACAGAAGAAACAGAAATGAATATTTCCAAAAGTAAAACGACTACCCAAATTCGAACAAAAACAATGAAGGGTACATCCGAACAAAAATACAATAAAAGGTACTCATCCAACAACTTTCATATTTTTAATAGAAAAACTCGCATTATTCTCGTCATCGACTTTCTTGGGCTACATTTTTCTCCTGCAAATGGGTTTTTATTTCGAAGGGTTGGTGCGGAAGGACCGGAGTGCACAGGGTGAGAAGCCCTATTGTTGTAGTATCGCTGCCACCACTATAAATCCTGCACTGGATTTTTTTTTTCTTTTTCCTTTTTTTTTGTCGTGAATTAATTGCAACGTGTGTTTTTATTGAGTAAACAAGTTTTGTAGCTAACAGCATATATATCAAAGATTTCAGAGTAGTATCGTTATTACCCTCATTAGATTAAAAGTCAAAGAACCATTAATCATCTGCTTTCTGTCTATTATACGGTTGGAAATGACACGTATGTGAGATACTTACACTCAACCGGAGATATTCCGGTCACCTTAACTCATTTTTCATGTGAATGGGGAGATTGAGATTATTTTCGTTTCATAAAGGAGGAGTTATGTATGCAAGTGCAGATTCAGCATAGTTGAACAAATATCGCTTAGTGTAGATTCGTATAGACTATCATTTTTTTTTCTTTCAGGTGTATTTGCCTTTTAGTTTCAATAAAATTTCACCTTAAACAGTTGATATTTCTTTAACAAAAAAAAGAAGTGTAGATTATTGTAGAATGTTATTTACCAAAAAAACAGTCTTCCGAATTAAACTTATGAAGACTTGCAAATGATGCTTTATCACAGCAACAAAAAATAATAATGCATATACACCTTGGTGCGTCAATCGTTACAAATTTTCTTCTTCTTTAATAACTAATTACCTAAACCACCAATACCGCTCCTCTAAAATTTAATAATAAATAAAAGAAGGGGCATTAAGATCTGCTGAATTTCAAAACCAGAATAGCGTACTTTGGCCCGGTACCTTCGTGCAAAGCTGCTGAACCACCCTTCCTTCGCATTTCTTGGGTCAAAGCCGAAGTGTGCAGATTCGTTTCACACAGAAATTTTTTATATCCATTCCTGGAAGAACGTTATTGTTTTTTTATTTTTAGTAGTCAACTAGAATTTGTACCCACGCAGTGCTGCGGGGTTGAGAATTATATGAAAGATTATGCAACTGCAATATTCATAAACAATGTTCGAGTAAAAAATTGAGTTACAAACGCCAATGCAACCATTGCAATTTACAAACAACCTCATCATGAATGAAACTAATTTACAATCTACTGCTGCAATCAACATATTCACTTTGCAGATTTTTGTAGAACCACTTTGCAGGTTTTGTGGAACCACTTTATTCTAAACATAAATCTTAACATAACTCAACAAAAGGTGTAAAAAAATTGTTAAGAGAGATTGACAAAGCAGACAGAAAAATAGATATTTGTAATGAATTTCAAATCAAACCAGAGATTATATCTACTGAGATTGATACATATGTACCTGTTGAGTTTGATACATGTTTTATACGCTTTTCTGCTGAGTTTGATACATATGTACAACCATATTAGGTGTTCAACGATGGGGCTTACATTCCTATTTACAATTGGATAAATTTATACTTCTATATTGATGCAAGTTATGATTTTAATTTGAATGCCTTCTTCTTCGTTCTGACAATGAAAATATATATATATATATATATATATATATATATTAAGATTGGACATTACAAACTGACGTACACATAATAATAGAATCAGTGTCAATTTCTCCATGTTATAGCCATACCTCGTAACAAATCGTCGGCAAACAAAATCAGTTTAAGTTTTTTGAATTAAAAAAAAAAAAGCCAAAACAAATCGTAATAGCAGACAAATCCTGAAAAGGATAGAAACAAATATTGTCATTTAAATTTTGCATGCTGTTAGTTTCTCAAGTAACCTTTACATATTCATTCAAATTATGCATGTATTGGGGCGCTTTAAGCAGAATGGTAGTGTAGTATTCAGAATTTATTTTCAAATGATCACAAATGAATCTCCCACTATTCTACTTAAAACACCATTATTCTACTCAAAACCAAGTGAAAATTGCGTTGTTTTTATAAGCTAAACGCACAGCAAATAAGCAAGAAAAGTTGGCAAGATTTTGAAGGGGACCAACATTATTTTCCCATCAAACAAAATCAAACCGGAGATGACAAAAGAGTCTTCCCAACTACAGTGATTTGACAATTTTCAAAAAGTTTGGAAATACAAATAATGGCCCACAGATCAAATTATATACTAACAATTCCAGAAGACATTCAGAATGTGACCGCTTAAACTTTGAATGGATGCGAGAAATGCAGGATTGAAGCCAGAATTGAACCTTATATTACCTGATTCAATGCTTGGTTACGCTCATCATTGAAACTTCTGCCACTCTTCGTTCCAACCGCATCAAGCTCGTCAATGAATATAATTGAAGGTGAATGGTTCCTTGCCATATTGAAAAGGTCTCTAATGCGAGCTGCTCCTCTTCCAACAAACATCTGCACAAATTCACTGGGCTAGGAAAACTAAAATGAAATAAGATACTCAAGAACATATAACCATTAACCCACTCCACCGCCTTGACCCCTTTGATCTGCAAAACCAAATAACATTTTTCAACAAAAAGGAACTAAGTTAACGAAGCAAATACAGCATACAAAAACAGAAATTCAATTTAGCTTCATTTAGATTACAGGAAGTCTATTCAAACAACCAAAAGGATATGAATAAAAATACTCAAGACCCAACCTTTTTCAAAGATCACTTGTTCCAGCGTTCAAACCAAAAAACTGAAGACGGTTACTTGAATTAAATGAAAATGAAAATGTAATTAATTTACTCTTAACCATGGTTTTTTTTTAAGAATCAGAAAAACCTAAAAATATCCCAAACAATCCCAAATTTTGGAACTGCTTTAAGCCAACTTACCATGAAGTTACAGCCGCTTAAGAAATTTTCTTCAAATCAGGACGGAACAGGCATTCCTGTACAAGTAATTCATTTAAAGGGTGTTTTAGCAACCATTGTTAGACGATCAATGCAAATGAGGATGTGAGGGATGAGAGAGAGTGACAGTGTTGGGAGATGGGGGAGTGGGTAGAGAAAATATTAAAAAACAAAACCAAACACACCAAATCAGCTTTTCACTTTTTTTTTCTCTCTAACCAATTATTTTTATCATTTTTTATCCTTGTCGGTGGCAGAAATCATGTGATACATTTTTTAATCTTATTTTTTTGTCCAACAATCCATTACTTTATCCTTTTCACTGTACAAAGCAGGTAATACGATCCGAAGCCAAAGCTGAGGAGAGAAGCGAGGCCGGGAAGGACAAAACAGACTTTTTACGGTATAAAATTGTAAACAGTACAGGGACCAAAGCAGAAACCAAGGGTATTTTTGCCCTTTCGCATGATGAACAGTAATATAAATTTTGCCTACAAGAAGATTATTTTCCTTAAATTTCCTCGAAGATGTGGACACAAAAAGCATAATTTTCTTTTGCCTTTTTACGTAATGATCTAATTTGCATTGAGTCGTTGACTTCGTATCGATTATACTATTTTCCTGTGATCCAATTTGTAAATCAATTGAGTTAGTATTTCTGTTTGTTACATTACTTTTAGTCTTAGCCGCTCGATCATCGCTGGCCAGGTGATGTTTTCAAAAGTCATAAGCACTCTGTAGAGTTGTAGTGGCATTGCAGCCACAAGACATAATCAAGTATCCTTAATTACTCTTTTGGATGTCTTAGGTTCGTGTTGACATGAACACAACATAAGGACGATATGATTAATTACTAATACGCATACAAAATTGACATAAAAGAAAAAGATCAAAATTATCATTTCACGTTTGATGTGAATGGATCGCACATGAGTTATCGAGTTACGTGATTATGTAAGCATGTTAAAGTGTGCTTCGTTTCTGAATTAGGTGGGTTGGATGGAAACACAAACCCTTATTAACTATGTTAAATGGGTTGACACGATTATGCCCAACCCAAACAAATTTGTTTTGTTTGAAATATTTCTGTTAATCTTCGGGGCAATAAAATGATAAATTTTATGGCTTCGCCACCGGTCAGTCCTTTTATAAAAAAAAACAAATTCGTTTTGTCATTTTCACTCCTACTCTTTTTGAAAGGGCATCCTCTTCCTATCTTTTTCTCATAACTCATCAAGATCGGAGATCTTGACTATTAACATTTGATCCAACAGATACAAACAAGGATCTACTCTAAAAATTATTACAACTTTAATTGTTGAATTAAATTTTAATGATCCGGATCTATGAACTTGATGAATTAGGGAGAAAGGATCCGTAGAGGATCCCTTTCCACTCTTTCTTCGTACTTTCAACCTAAATTCGATCAAATACAACAAAAGGTACACCGTCGAACAACGTTCATATTTTTAATAGAAAAACGCGCATTATCATCGTCACTGACTCATTGACTTTCTTAGGCCACATTTTTTTCCTTCCTGAGAAAACGCTTCTTTTGATCGAGGCCATTCATCTTCCCATCGTTCGGACCATATTTTCCGGTCAACAATTGTTTCCGTTCGGGTACAATTTTCCAGTAATCGTTGAACTCCTAGCTCCAACAATCGAGTATTGCAGTTCTTACATCAATGGCTGTTTCTTCTTTTTCTTCGGTATCTGACGACCTTCGTTGGAAATATGATGTCTTCGTCAGTTTCACAGGCGAAGACACCGGCAGGGGTTTTGTCAGCCATCTGCTCAGAGCTTTCAAGCAGAAATCAATCAGTACATCCGTGGATGCTGAAGATATTTGCAGAGGCGACTGCCTTTCGGAGGAGCTCCGAAAACGCGTCCAACAGTCGAGGCTTTCGATTGTAGTTTTTTCTAAAGACTACGCTTCTTCCAGGTGGTGCCTCAGAGAACTGGTCCAAATGGTGGAACAAGTGAAGATGACTGGCCAGGTGTTGGTGCCCGTTTTCCATGGAGTAGATCCGTCTGATGTTCGTAGAGCCTGGGGAACTTTTGGGGAAGCTTTTGCAAGATATGACTGCGAAATGGAACAGGAGGAAGTGCGCACTTGGAGGGGAGCTCTAGCTGCTGCAACCGATCATTTTGGCTGGGATATACAAGATTATAGGTAATTTTGATTAAATATTCCACATCTTATTATACGCATAGTATATGTATATGTCCAAACCCTTTATATACCTTCTAGGTCTTACTCAATGATAATTTTTGCAAAAAAATCATATGACTGGTGAATTATAGTGATCACTTTAGTGTTTTTTGGAAGAGCATTAAGGGGGTCGGATTAATCTAATTTGTAGCAAAAATGATTATGAAAGATGTAATATTACAATATAGATGGTTTAGATTGTTGAAAAAAAAATATGTAGTGAATAAGAGATCCCTCAATAGAAAGAGACCGTACAATGTACATACATACATGCGTACACAAATATTTATATGACATTACTACTTGAGGAAATTGTGCAGTACTGTTTTTAAAATTTCACATCTACAGGGATGATGCCGAGCTGATTGAGGAAATCGTACAATGTGTTTTTAACAAATTGATCGGCTGGTCATCGTTTGAGGGTGGTTGGAAATATGATGTTTTTCTCAATTTTAGAGGTGAAGACACTCGCAAGGGTTTTTCCAGCCATCTCTACAAAGCTCTGTATCAAAAACGAATCAACACCTTCATGGATGATGAAGAGCTTAGAAAAGGCAACAGCCTTTCGGAGCTCCTGAAATGTATTAAACAGTCGCGAGTTTCGATTGTTGTTTTTTCTGAAGACTACGCTTCTTCCACATGGTGCTTAAAAGAACTCGTGCAGATCCTCAAATGCATGGATGAACAAAATCAGATAGTGATCCCCGTTTTCTACGAAGTTGATCCATCTCAAGTTTGTAAGCCGGAAGCTTTTACTAAACACGATTGCGATTCTAAGGTGGAGAAGGAAGAGGTGCAGAGCTGGATGTCAGCCCTAACAAGAGCCACCAATTTAACTCTACCTCGCTGGGATTCACGAAACTATGAGTAATTTTTGTTTACTAATTATATTCTTAGTTTCTTTTAACCTATTAAGGGTTTGAGCTTTACGTAACATTTAGTTTAATTTGAGTTGTCAGTATACATTCTCCTACCAATACTGTTTTTCATCTTCCGTAGGGATGATGCCAAGCTTATTGAGGACATTGTACAACATATTTCGAGAGAGCTTTCCCGTTTTACCATACCGCAGATGGGCCATGTTTGATAACGATTCTGTTGAGATGAGGATGATTCTGATGAGATACAAGCCTGGTTGCAGATCAATCCAAGCTAAATCAATGTGTTCTTTCAATTTCAGTTTAAACTTCGTTCAAAAAAAAAAAATCGGTTTAAACTAGTAAGTGAGCCCGCATGATGCCGTGGGTTTTAAGAATGTGTTAAACATGTGGAATATATTAAAATCTATTTACATCATTATCAAAATATATTTACATTAGTATCAAAATTTATTTACCTCTTTATGTTCAATAAGAAATAAAAGATTGATGTGGTAGTATATATTACACAATTCATATGGATAACATTCATATCAAAATCTTAAGTTCAAGCCACTTAGTACTACTATAGTGGTATTCCTCTTCACTTGTAAGTGAGAGGATTTAGGTTCGATTCTCGTTAAAGACGAGTTTGAACCACATTATTGCTGACCCATTATGAGGCTAAACCCACCCCTCCCCCTTAATATAAATAATATCGTTTGTTTAAAATAAATAAAAAAAAAATCTTAAGTTGAAGAATTTGGAATATGTAAAGTCCCTGTGGGCGATTACAGCTCTTCTTCTTCCCTTATCCTCATGCTCTGTCCCCATGTTGAGTCCCACAATTTGAAGCTCGCAAAATATATTAAAATCCATTTACATTCATATCAAACTCTAATTTTTTTTAAATTAAAAATTTTAGATTTTAATTCAAGAATTAGAGATGGTCTTATGCATGAGAGAGAGGGCTAGAATTGGTTGCAAGAAGAAACACCTCTTATGTATCTGCTTGTCCATAAAATTATCTAAAAAATAAGATAGATATCTAAGAAGCACAGGAATAGTATCTATCTATGAAAAAATCACTTCAAACATGTCTTAAATAAGATAGATATCTCAGAAACACCTCTTATATCTACTTGTTCAGAAAAGCGATTATGACTCTCCCAATGTCGCTTCAAAAAATGTCCTAATTAAATTGTGTAACTTTTCTTCGCACATTCTTGGACCTCCAAAGTTGGAATATTAGCACAAACTGAAGTTATGTTGAAACTATATATTAACAAAACTTTCTTTGTCCATTAAAAGAGGATGAAAAGACTCATTAGTTTTATATCACAAAAAAAATTATGTATAATAATGTAATTTCACAAAACCCAATTTTTCTATTTTTATTTAGGGGTCTTTTGATATGGGTCCAATTTTATAAGCCTGTTTTGAATGAAATCCACTTATATTACATAAGCATAAGTGGAGGCTAGTAAGTACAACAATCATCCATGTCATCAATTAAAATGCACATAATTTACCAACAAAATTACAACAATTGCCATTAGACCCCTTTATCATGTCTCTTGCAGATTAATCTCTTTGTTTATTCAAAAACCTTATCCTCCCATCTTTCAAATTGGTTTGCGTCTGTGTCCAGCGGAAACCTTGTTTTGAATCCTAAATCTGTATGAAGCTATGAAAACTATAAAATTTCTCCCAGTATATGATGAAAACATAATAGGCGAAGATCTGGTTCTGACTTCCCGGTATACCTGGATAACAAGTATTGTAACTTCTCCAATCCATCCGAATTCATTGTCTGCTAGATAAGTTTGGGTGTTATGTGAACTGAGATATGCTTTGTCGTATCTGTTTTTTAATTTCAATTTCAATTGAAAAGGGATATTCTTCATGTTTCCCTTTATTGATTGCACAATAAGATTTGTTTGTAATCTCAGATAATGTTATTTTGTCATTATCTGGACATAGTTCGTAAATGTACTTTCTAATTGTATAAGGATAGGTACTTACAAATTGTTGATAAAAAATGGTTGTCGGTAATTTTCCTACATGTTAGGTAGTTTAAAGACATCAAAATCTATAGGTATACCTGTAGAACAGGTATTGTAACTTCTCAGAAGATTTCAGTTTCATATATGGTCATATGGTTTTGTTTTTCTAATATTTTGGTTTTTGTGATTTGGGCTTTGTTTTTGCAGTGTTCGTTACCTGGATAACAGGTATTACACATGTATAAACACATGTAATTTGTATAGAAAGTTATAGAAAGTTAAAAGTGATTAAGCCTTCCTTAAAAATAGATTGATAAAAAATTCAAATTCAAAAATTGTTATCAAGAAAGCTGGGAGAAAGATGAAAGACCACTGAACAATGAATTTGAATTTTGATAAAAATTTAAAACGTGAGAAATATATGGAGAACGTGCAAAATCTATATGAGGGTAAAATAGTAATAACAATGCAAAAAAATCAACCTAATCAGAAAAATTGCTGACATGGAATCCTAGTCATTGGAGCTAAGTCAAAAGTAACTAAAAATTGGATTAATCCTAATGTTGGGCTATAAAATTGGACGGACCTATTTCAAGTTTCTCATTTTATTTAACCCTCACCTACATATGATTTTTACATATATATAATATTAAAAAAAAAACTTCTCTTCCCACTCCCACTCTCATGTTATCACTCTCCATCTCTCCTTCCCATTTTAAAAACAAAAACAAAAAATATTTAGACACACGAAATGTGTTGACATATGTTAGTCCAATCCCGAAAGAAGATGGTGATAACAAATAAAGCCATTTGTAATTTTTTTCGTCATTTTGCAAATTAAAAAATTATAAAAAGAAAAAAATAATAACGTGCTATTTCGTTGCCATTGAATTTCCCGATACATTACTAGAAGAAGACATGAGAACACACATAAAGCATTTCTTTTTCGTTTTTTGTTTAGATGTTAGATTTAGTCATTAAACGGGATGGAACTTATGTCTTCAACTTCTTTCCTTCGTGGTAGTAAAATGTCACTTGAAGGTTTATTTTTTGGGAAAAGGATCTCGAGGATCTCGCAAGATCTTTTTTTTAGGGATCCTAGGAATTGTATAATTTTATCCGTTTATCGTATATTGTGCAGTCAGAAATCATTTCAAAATTTAAAATTTAAAATTAAATATGAATAGTATCTAATAAAAATTAAATGTACGATATATGATGACCGAATGAGATCACAAAATCTCTATGATCTCTAGAAAAATAATCTGACGAGAATCGTTTTCCTATTTTTTGTACCAAAATTCAAAGATGCTTTATTTTTTAAGTATATTGTTTGGCCTGGCCTGACTTGGATTTTATTGATATTTCATGTCCACACCTACACGCTTTTGACCGAGACCAGTCATCTTCCTATCGATCGGACCAATATCCAGCGGTCCTTTTATAGGGTTACTAATCAATCCAGTATTTCAGTTGTTATATCAGTTGGCAAGAATCGATATTGTGCTTGTTAATGGCTGCTTCTTCTGTGTCATCCGGTGGTCGATATGATGTGTTCATCAATTTTAGACGCGAAGACACTCGCAAGATCTTTATCGGCCATCTTTACAAAGCGCTGGTTCAGAAATCAATATACACCTTCATTGATGGTGACGATCTGGAGCTCCCGACAACTATCCAAGAGTCAAGGCTCTCGATTGTAGTTTTTTCTAAAAACTATGCTTCTTCCACGCGGTGCTTAAAACAACTTGTACATATCCTAGATCGTGTGGATACAAAGAAGCATATAGTGGTGCCCATTTTCTATCAAATAGATCCGTCTGATCTTCGTAAACTCGCTGGAAGTTTTGCGAAAGCTTTTGCACAACATGATCACGACCCTAACGCCAACATCGATGAGGTGCAAAGCTGGAGGTCCGCTCTAACTAAAGCCGCCAATTTTTCCGGTTGGGCTTCACGAGATTATAGGTAATTTTATTTAGCTACTTTCTTTCTTTGAGCTTTTCATAGCATTTGATCTGTTAAATCGGTATCACAATATTTTGTGTACGTGTTTTACTGGAATATATATGGCATTACGGCTTAAGGAAATTGTGCAATACTGTTTTTCAAATTCCACAGGGATGAAGCCAAGTTTATTGAGGGAGTTGTGCAAGATATTTTTAATCAATTGCTCCAATTCAGCAAAGTTTACGTCAGTTTTAGAGGTGGAGACACTCGCAAGGGTTTTGCCGCCCATCTCTCCAAAGCTCTGCATCAGAATGTACTCAGCACCTTTAGAGATGTTTCAGCGGACATTAAAGGCGATGAATTCAGCAGTCTTTTCAAAGTTATTCAACAGTCAAAGATTTCGATTGTAATTTTTTCCGAAAGCTATGCTCATTCCCGTTGGTGCTTAGACGAGTTGGTCGCAATCCTGGAATGTGCGGACACAAACAATCAGATAGTGTTTCCCGTTTTCTATGGAGTAGATCCATCTCATGTTCGTCGAGCCACCGGGCCCTTTGGGGAAGCTTTTGCTCGACACGAGGAAGTTTTCAGGTACAATATGGAAGGGGTGACGCTTTGGCGCTCCGCTCTAACTAGAGCCACCGGGCCCTTTGGGGAAGCTTTGGCTGGACACGAGGAAGTTTTCAGGGACAATATGGAAAGGGTGACGCTTTGGCGCTCCGCTGTAACTAGAGCCGCCAATTATGCTGGATTTGTACGCAATAATTTCAAGTAATTTTTCTTTACAAAATCTTAATATTTTTAGGTTCTAATTTTGACCTTTTCAATCTAAGCATACTATTATTCATATTGCACAGGGATGATGCCGAGCTTATTGAGGCCATTGTACAACATACTTGGAGAGCCTGCCGTGGCTTCGAACGGATCTTGAATTGAGAGCTTGAATGAGACTGTAATCAAATACCAGAGCTTTTCACCGAGTATAAATTACATGGATGAACAAGAACAGTTTTGGAAATAGTTTCAACTTTCAACACCAAAGCATAATTACGTTGAGGGATATATTGTGGGTTTTATTGCTTTTGAATAAACAAATTTCTGTAAAACAGTAGAAAGTGTCAATTAGGTGCTGTTATTGAGGACATTCATCGACTGGCTAGGCCATTCACTAGAATATCCCCGAAAGCATGTATTTAGGGAGGCGAACTTCCTACTGTGGACAGATCTTATTTCTATGATCGTACTATTACGATTGTTTTGGCGCGTAATGCTTGTATCTTTGATTGTATGAGTGTGGATGCGGTAGGGAATTTAGTTTGTAACTGGTTGTGTGGTTGTGCTCCTTTCTTTCTGTGTAAAATTTCTCTCTTGAAATAAGGTGTCTTCTATGGCGAAGATGTCCTCTAGAGTCTTGCCGCCCAGTTTTAACCCACATAATTTTGTTCATCTTAGCATGAAATATAGTGACATTGAACAACTTTCTGCCTTTTTGTTTCACTTTACCCTCATATAAGCTTCAAAGATACGTAGGAACGCTTTTGACGCCGACAATAAAAGGTTCCTACTTCTGCTGTGAAAAATTATTGTCACTCCGGCCTGAAATTCTTGGTTTAAGTGACTGTTGGAGGTATCGGATTGTATTAGCATATATCTTCCTTGAAAATATTAAAATTTTGCAGAAACCTTTTTGAGAGCTTACCTGCGACAATGAATTGACTTCTTTGTTTAACAACTCTCAAATTGGAAGCTTGCAAGGGACTGAAATCAATACCAGAGCTTTCATCAAGTATAACTTCAAAGGTTCTCAACCGGTGGATATACAGGAATGCAGCGATGCTTTTGAAAGAAGGTACAATGCAGAGAGATTTCATTACATTTTATATAAATACGATGTTATTCAACACTTATGTTTTAAAACAGAAGGATAACTTCTAATTCCTGTATCAATCTATTTTTCAAATTTATTCAAATTTGCCGGCTTGGTGGATGCTTCAGCTCTGATATCTGTCAGTGGTTCATAAGCTTTGTCTGATGGAGGCAATGTGTTCTCTATAGACTATGGTGTTTAGCGGTAGCAAGTCAACAAGCACTGATCCCAGCTCCTTGAACTTGGAGGAAACTTTGGATCCACGCTTTGTTTCTGGGGATATTGTGATTTATGACAGTGAATAATCCTAACGTGCAGAAGGGACAGGTGGTGAAAGATGGAGGAGGAAGAGGAGGACGAGTAGGTATGATTTTGCCAAACACAGCTGCATCGCTTAAGAATGCAGAGTTTCATTTCTATATATGCCAATTGTGAGGAAATGCAAAACCGAAGCATGTTGCAGCCCCAAACATCATCATGAAAACTCTGAAGTGGAACTTCGTGTTCTTGGCAAAATCACACGTAAGAATTGCCAATCAAGTTGCAATAACCTATGGAAGTGACGCAGGACGAAGCAAGAGAGATACAAACGTAAGCCCTCGAAAAATACAATTTTTGGAGTCCACCAGATTTTGGTTGAAAACCCAAGGGTTGTTTTGTTTAATTTATTAACTTGATGCTTACAAATGAACAGCCAAATGGCTTAAATAAATATAGTACATCTGTTGGGACAACTCAAAGGACTAATGGCATATATAAATTGAACAACAACAAAAAGTATGAATTTTTATTATAAACTTAAAATTGCATTTTGGAGGCTGAAACAATTCCAAATGGTCAAAATTCATGAGTTTGACTCGTGATGTCGTTCTTTTTCCTAAAAGGTATTAAGGGTCCAATTCGGAGCTTGGATGCCAAATTGACAAATTCACACTGCATCCTTTTGTCTTTTAACAATTCATCTCCTCCTTGATTCGTTCAGCCATTTGTTCTACGTCAGAAATGTTCATGTTAACATGTCACGTTTGAAATCTTGAGCTCTAGAAAAGAGGAGAAATTTACCATTGGATGGTAAGTGCCCACGGGCTTTGGGCCTTACATGTTTCCAAATGACACCAGTGCGCACTTTAGGCCATTCAACCAAGCCCAATCTGAATCGCTTTGACCGACAATGGAGGGAGGGAGTGAGGGAGGGCGTTGACCTGCAATCTCAGCATCCCTCCAATTCAAACAATTACTGAAGACCAGGTATTTCACTTTCGTCGGATGTTAATGGTGGCTCCCAGAGTGGAATTAAGGTTGTGCTATCAAAATCCCTGGGAAACGGGTCCGGTCTTCATTGGTATTTGCTTTTTGCTCACCCACTACGTTTTTTTTCTTTTTAGCTCTTCGCTGCTTCTTCTTGTTCTTCTTCTTCATCCGATAGTAGTGGGAAATATGATGTATTCCTGAATTTTAGAGGGGAAGACACTCGCAAGATCTTCATCGGCCATCTCTACAAAGCTCTGAATCAGAAAGCAATCAACACCTTCTTTGATGGCGAAGAGCTTCGAAAAGGCAACGACCTTTCTGAGCTCCTTACAGCTATTGCCGACTCGAGGCTATCGATTGTAGTTTTTTCCGAAAACTACGCTTCTTCAACGTGGTGCTTGAAAGAACTCGTCCAGATACTGGAATGCATGGATACACAAAAGCAGATAGTGGTGCCTGTTTTCTACGAAGTGGATCCATCCGATATTCGTAAACTCGAGGGAAGTTTTGCAGAAGCTTTTGCTAAACATGAAAGCTATTCTAACGTTGATGTGAAGGAGGTCCAGAGCTGGAGGTCCGCTCTTGCTAGAGCCACCGATTTATCCGGTTGGGATTCAAAAAATTATAAGTAAGTTTAATTTGTTCGCATGCACTTGCTATTAATGATAATGAAAAGGCTACGAAGGAAAAAAGTTTTCATTGTTCTTGATGACGTTGACAAATTATCCCAAATCGAAGCCTTACTTGGAAAGCAGCATTCATTTGGTGGTGGAAGTCGGGTCATTATAACAACAAGAGATAAGCAGTTACTAAGTGGAGCTGTTGTGGTATATAAGCCCAAGAACCTAAGTGAGCCAGAAGCTCTTGAACTCTTCAGGCCGTATGCCTTCAAAACAAACCAACCCACAAGAGATTATGATCGTCTCGCAAGGCTTGCCATACAGCATGCTCATGGTTTGCCTTTAGCACTTAAAATCTTGGGCTCCTTGCTTGATAACAGAAGTGCACGGGAGTGGGAAGATGTGTGGAGTAAAACAAAGAAAACCCAGCTCATGGGAATTCAGGATGTTCTTAGAAGGAGCTTTGATGGGCTAGATGATTCAGAGAAGGACATATTTCTAGATATTGCTTGTTTCTTTAAAGGGATGGAGAAAGACTATGTAACAAAAATTCTTGATAGCTGTGGCTTTTATCCCCATAGTGGATTAGGAGTACTAGTTAACAGAACTCTCATCAATCTCAAATTATGATACTCTTGAGATGCATGATTTACTACAAGAAATGGGATGGGAAATAGTCTGCCAAGAATCCAATAAAGAGTCTGGAAGAAGAAGTAGGCTATGGATTTATGAAGATGTTCATCGTGCATTAACTCAAAATACAATGAGATATATTCATTACCTCTTTCTTTTAAGCATGTAATATTGAGTAGAAAACTGAAGTATGACAAAAATCAAATTCTGGATATTTTCACTTACTGAATTTCCACTGTTTGGTTATCCCAGGCTACAGAAGCAGTTGAAGGCATAATCCTCAACTTGGCCAACTCAAAAGAGATACTTTGAAGCTGAAGCTTTAGTTAGAATGACAAAACTAAGACTTATCAAAATCCACTGTACCCGATCCATGGTAAACGCATCATGGGAGGATCGATCCCATCCAAATGGTGACTGTAAACAACACATGAGTGGGGATTTAAAATTTCTCTCTCATGAGTTGAGGTGTCTACTCTGGCATGGGTGCCCCCTAAAGTCCTTGCCATCCAATTTCCACCCAAAGAATCTTATTGATCTTGAAATGCCGTATAGTCAGATTGAACAACTTTGGGAAGGAAACAAGGTACAATATTCATTTTTCATATGTTTATTTTGAATGGTTAAGTTGTCAGATGCCTTATTATTTATTGGATGTCTTCTTGGTTGTTGTTACAGCATCTGGAAAGGTTGGAATTCATCGGTTTAAGTCATTCTCAATACCTCAACAAAACCCCCGACATCACTGAAGCAAAAAATCTTGAGATTCTAAATCTTGAAGGTTGTACAAGTTTAACTGAAGTTCACCCATCGATTTCAGATCTTGAGCACCTTGTTTTTTTGAGTCTTAAAGGATGCAAAGAACTTAAGATTCTTTCAAGCAGAATTCACATGAAATCTCTTAAAACCCTTGTTCTTTCTGGCTGCTCAAATTTTGTTAAGTTTCCAGAGATTTCAGGAAGTATGCAGGAGCTAGCAGAGCTTTATCTTTATCGGACTGCAATTGAAGAACTTCCCTCATCGATTAGCATTCTTACGGGGCTTGTTACTTTGAACCTAAATTGTTGCAGAGAACTTAAGAGTCTTCCAAACAGCATTTGTCAACTCAAGTCCCTTAGATATCTTACTCTATCTGGCTGTCCAAGGCTTAAGGAGTTTCCAGAAATTGAAGAAGATATGGAAGGATTAAAAGAGCTTCATTTGGATGGAACATCTTTCACATGGATTTTCCCATCAATTGAGCGGCTTCGAGGGCTTGTGATATTAAATTTGAAAAACAGCAAAAGCATTGTCTGTCTTCCAGACAGTATCTGTAATTTGGCATACATTACCTGTCTCACTGTCTCTGGGTGCTCAAGACTTTCTCACTTGCCTGAGGGCTTAGGAAATGTGGGATCCTTGAGGGACGTTGACGTAGAGGGAAGTGGTATAGAACGACCATTCTCTATGTCAAGTTCAATCATGCCTGCAACGTTATCTGGTAAATGGATGGCAAAGAAGCCCCCATTTGTGTCATTGTCACCAAAACCACCGGCTCATAGACACTATGAAAACCTTGTGTTTCTTGATTTAAGTGACCGCAAACTGTTGGAGTTACCGGATTATGTTACGAATCTAATTCATTTGATAACATTAGTGCTGTGCAGAAACAATTTTGAGAGCTTAACTGCAACTATGGATCGACTTCATCGTTTAACAAATTTCAATGTGGAAGCTTGCAGGAGACTAATATCAATACCACAGCTTTCATCAAATATTAGATAGATGCACATGATTGCACAGCTTCGGAAACAGTTTCAACACCAAAGCCTCATTCTATGAATCTTTACCTCATATTTTCTAATTGCCTCCGGCTGGTACCAAAAAATCCATTCAGGGATATTGTGGAAACTCATTGTCATGATTAGGTCTCGCTCTCTCTCTCTCTCTCATACACACACACTCACACTCACACTCACACTCGCGTGCACACACACTCGGAGGCAATGATACCAGTACATACACAAACACGTGAAAACACAAAAGTAAACCCAATTAAGTGAGCTTTTATTCTTGCAGGGGCCTCTTTCTTTTAATAAAAATAAATTTTTTAACAAACGATATTATCAGCGCTAAGATGCATGGTGAGTTTAACCTCACAATGAGTTAGTAATAATATGGTTCAAATTCATCTTTAACGAGAATTGAAACTAAGAATTACACTCGGAGGCAATGATACCAGTACATACACAAATCCGTGAAAACACAAAAGTAAACCCCATTAAGTGAGCTTTCATTGTTGCAGGGGCCTCTTTCCCTTAATAAAAATATTTTATTTTAACAAATGATATTATCAGCACTAAGATAAATGGTGGGGTTAGGCTCACAATAAGCTAGTAATAATGTGGTTTAAATTCACCTTTAGCGAGAATTGAAACTAAGAATTATAAGTAAAAAGAAATACCACTACATTGTAATATTAAGTTGCAACAATAAAGATAAATTATTATTAATATTTTTTTTTATGCCCAAACTTAGTAGAAAGAAACTCGTTGTCGTTGACTCATTGATTTCCCCACCATTTTACAGAGTTCTTTCTCTTTCATTCTTTTTTTTTTTGGGATAGTGCTAGGAAACCACCTGGTAAAAAGAAAATCATTTTCGTTGACTCATTGACTTCCCGATCATTTTACGGAGTTTTTTTTCTTTCAAAATTTTTAGAATTATATTTTTTTGAATAATGTTAAGAAAAGTAAAATTTTAAATTAACTTTATAAACTAAAGGTTGTACAGGGTTATATGGGGTTGACGCATCCAGTTCAGCTCTGAAAAACCTTGTTATATTGAATCTAGGAGACTGTCGAGAACTCAAGAGCCTGCCAAGCAGCATTCATATGGGATCCCTTCAAACCCTTAATCTTTCTGGTTGCTCAAACCTTGAGAAGTTTCCAGATATTTCAGGTGTTATGGAGAAGCTATCAGAGCTTTATTTAGACAGGACTGCAATTAAAGAATTGCCTTTGTCAATTAATAAACTCACGGGCCTTACTCTCTTGGACCTAAGACGCTGTAGAGAACTCAAGAGCTTGTCGAGCAGCATTCATATGGGATCTCTTCAAACCCTTAATCTTTCTGGTTGCTCGAACTTTGAGAAGTTTCCAGATATTTCAGGTGTTATGGAGAAGCTATCAGAGCTTTATTTAGACGGGATTGCAATTAAAGAACTGCCTTCGTCAATTAATAAACTCACGGGCCTTACTCTCTTGGACCTAAGACGCTGTCGAGAACTCAAGAGCCTGTCAAGCAGCATTCATATGGGATCTCTTCAAACCCTTAGTCTTTCTGATTGCTCAAACTTTGAGAAGTTTCCAGAGATTTCAGATGCTATGGAGAATCTATCAGAGTTATATTTAGATGGGATTGCCATTAAAGAACTGCCTTCATCCATTAATAATGTTACACCCGCCCCTGCTTATAAGGATAATTCTGTAATTCTCCCTAAAAATTTATAGGATTATCACTTTGGTCCTCATTTTGTTACACAATCAAGATCTGAAAATGTAAATTATTACCCTATCACCTAGGCTGCCACGTGGTAGCACCCCAACTCCCTTTACTTTTTCTCTTTTGTCCCCCCCCTTCCGTGACACCTTTTTCTTCTTCTCCTTTTTCTTTTTCTTTTCTTTTCTCTTCTTTTCTTTTGGTTTGTCTGCACTTTTCTTTCTCTCTCTCTCAAAAACTCTCCCTTTCTCTCTTCTTCTTCCCCGTGACAACACACACACACACACACACAAATACCCACAGTCGCACAACCCAGGGAGAGTCACCATCATCGCCGTTGAACTGCTTCTCTCTCTCTCTTTCTCTCTCCCCTGCTCGCGGTGCCGGAGTACGCCGAGCATCTCCGGCGAATTTTAGCTTGTTTTCCGGTTGGGTAAGCATGGTTTCTTCCTTTTTAGTCTTGTTAGATGTTAGTTAAATGTAGTTACTGAGTTGGGTTCATGAATTTTCAAGGTTTTGGAGTGTTTTTGGCAAGGGTGGAGGTACACCCAATTTTCCGGCGAGTGCGTGTTTTCCGAGGGATTTTCGGGCCACCACAAGCCGTTACACGGCGAACCCAAGGTATAAAACTACTCCTCTCGGCTAGTGCTTCATTTTGGTACCTAGATCGGGGTCTAGGTTGTAGGTTTGGCGTCGGCCGGAGCTGTGGAAGCTCCGGTGGTCTTCTCCGGCGCACCCAGGCCTTCGGGCCGTTCTTTACCCACACCCACGGGCCTTAGGCCCGTTTGGTCTTTGGCCCAATACCCTCACCCTTTCAGTTTTTATTTTTTAGTTTAATTCTTTTAAAAACCCAAAAGGCCTTAGGGCCTTGGTTGCAGCCCAAACCCATCACCCTTTTCTGTTGTGGGCCTTTGGGCCGTAGGGATTCAAGCCCAACCCAAACCCACTTAAAAACCCAAACCCATTTTCTGTTAGCCCAAAACCCTAACCCAAAAATCTAAACCCAAAACCCTGACCCGTAACCCATGACCCGTGACCCATGACCGTGGACCCGTACCCGTTTGACCCGTTTGACTCTGACATGTTGACTTTGACCCGTTGACCGTTGACCGGGTCAACGGTCAACGTTGACTTTTGACTTTGACTAGTCAACAGTCAACGTTGACTTTGACCGTTGACTTTTTATGTTTTCGTGCGGGGACCCTCCTAGGCTAATTTCGACGTTCTAAACCCGTTTCCGATGTCCGTTTTCCCAAATTCAATCGTTTGAGTGGAGTTTGACTGAAAGTACTCAATTATGTGTTAGGTGCGATTCTTAGCGGGAGTCCATTATTCCTATTTGGTACAGCTTGCACCATCGGTGTACGGTGAGTGGACCCCTTCTAAAAATGCATGTTTTAATGGTAGAATTGCATACACAGAAAAGCATGACTTTACGTTTATGTTTTATGAAACGTTTTGAGATAATATGCTTACTGAGGCTAGTTTGAATTATTACTATTTTTCCTATAACCCATGTTCTTATAGAATATCTGATGGATGACGATATGATATTTAGAACATGTTTAGAACACTTCTTTATAGTATAGATGATGGATGACTTTATACTATGAAGTTGATTTTCAATATATGTATGTTCACTGATTTTATACCTACCTAGTGGTCCTTTCCGCTACGGGACGTAGGGATAGATCCGGTCCGTCCCGGGCGACGGTTTGGTGTTGGCATAGGGCCTGGAGTGTGTTTTCCTCTGACTGTCTGCTCAGAGACGGGGAGTCGGCATGGGGCCTGAAGTGTATTTTCCTCTGACTGTGTGCTCAGAGACGGGGAGCCGGCATGGGGTCTGAAGTGTTATATCGGACATTCACTAGTGTTTATTATTTATGCGATTTATGATTTGAGACATTGCGCGTCATGCTAGATTTCGGAAAACCTATATTTATCATTATACTTGTGTTTTTCATAAAACCTGGGGGTTAGTATGTTGATAACTGTTTTACTATTACTGTATATATAAACTTGGTCCACTCACCTTTGTTTTGCGCCCCCTTCAGGACCTTGGAACGAGGAGTACGACCTAAGCTACGAGGCGTTCCCCTACCAGTGATTTGTGTCATATTCGCTCCGCTTCGCCACTTATTGTAATAGCACTTCTTTATTCTGAGTTCTGCTTGTACTCGTTATTAGAATTATGCTCTGGACGTGCTATGTGTTTACCTAATTTCAATATTTAGAGGTTGAACTTTTATTTGGGGTTTTAGCCTTTATTGCGTACTTTAGTTTATTTTTTCTCAGTTTTTGTTTTAATTAAATGGTTTCGTCACCCTTCGGGTGTCGGCCAGCACGTGACCATCTCGATGTCTCTAGGACCTCGGGGTCGGGGCGTGTCAAATAAACCCACGGGACTTACTGTTTTGAACCTAAATTGGTGTCGAGAACTCAAGAGCCTGCCTAGCAGCATTCATATGGGATCTCTTCAAACCCTTAATCTTTCTGGTTGCTCAAACCTTGAGAAGTTTCCAGAGATTTCAGGTGTTATGGAGAAGCTATCAGAGCTTTATTTAGACGGGACGGCAATTAAAGAACTGCCTTTGTCAATTAATAAACTCACGGGCCTTACTATTTTGGACTTAAGAGGCTGTCGAGAACTCAAGAGCCTGACGAGCAGCATTCATATGAGATCTCTTCAAACCCTTAATCTTTCTGGCTGCTCAAACCTTGAGATGTTTCCAGAGATTTCAGAAGTTATGGAGGAGTTGTCAAAGCTTTATTTAAATGGGACTGCAATTAAAGAACTGCCTCTGTCAATTAATAAACTCACGGGCCTTCCAATTTTGGACCTAAGAGGCTGTCGAGAACTCAAGAGCCTGCCGAGCAACATTCAGATGAGATCTTTTCGAACCCTTGATCTTTCTCATTGCTCAAACTTTGAGAAGTTTCCAAATATTTCAGATGTTATGGAGAATCTATCAGAGTTATATTTACAATGGACTGCCATTAAAGAACTGCCTTCGTCAATTAATAAACTCAAGGGCCTTACTCTCTTGGACCTAAGACACTGTCGAGAACTCAAGAGCCTGCCGAGCAACATTCATATGGGATCTCTTCAAACCCTTAATCTTTCTGGCTGCTCAAACTTTGAGAAGTTTCCAGAGATTTCAGATGCTATGGAGAATCTATCAGAGTTATATTTAGATGGGACTGCCATTAAAGAATTGCCTTCATCAATTAATAAACTCACGGGCCTTACTGTTTTGAACCTATCTAGGTGTCAAGAACTCAAGAGCTTGCCTAGCAGCATTTATATGGGATCTCTTCAAACCCTTAATCTTTCTGATTGCTCAAATCTTGAGAAGTTTCCAGAGATTTTAGATGCTATGGAGAATCTATCAAAGTTATATTTAGATGGGACTGCAATTAAAGAACTGCCTTTGTCAATTAGTAAACTCACGGGCCTTACTGTTTAGGGTATCTTCTTCTAGGGCTTGTTACGTTGAACCTAAGAGATTGCAAAAAACTCAAGTCTCCCAAGCAGCATTTGTGATCTCAAGTCCCTTCACTATCTTAGTCTTTCTGGTTGCCCAAAGTTTGAGGTGTTGGAATTATTGGGTATTGCTCATTTATCATTATTGAATACATTAGAACTCTGCAGAAACAATTTTGAGAGCTTGCCTGCAGAAATGAATTGGCTTCATTGGTTAACAAGTCTCAAATTGGAAGGTTGCAAGGGACTGACATCAATACCAGAGATTTCATCAACTATAAGGTTCATAGATGCCCATGATTGCACAGCTTTGGAATCTGTTTCAAGACCGAGCAAGTTTTTTCCCAAGAATCTTTACTTGACATTTTCAAACTGCTTCCAGCTGGTGCAAAATCTATTTGAAGATATTGTGGAAGCTCATCGGGTCTCTGTCTCTCTCTCTCTCTCTGTAGGTGCGAAAGTACGAAACATATCTAATGCAAGTCCAGTTTACCTTTGTTTTCATTCTGCAGGGTAATCTGCAACCTCTTTCCTTGTTTATGTAGAGTCAATTTAGTCATATATATAGTCCCTTCATGATATATGAAAAGCATGCATAGATTAAATAACTCAACATCGATCATTAACTCATCATATTATCAAGATAGTCACCATACCATATCCGACATGAATCCAAGAAAACATTAGTCATCAGTCAACATTTTATCAGAACAGATGAAGGGGAAATTTAAGAAGTCACAAAAAGGGAAACAAGTGAATCTTAAATAACAAAACGTCATATTCATCACCATGTGATTTATCGGAAAATTTTAAAAATTTCAAGAAGAGAATTTCTGATGTGAATCACCCAGATAACAAAATGCTAAATTTTAATCAGAGATTACCTTTGTAGAATATGATAGTCAGCGGAAGCATAAATATAGTGTTATATTGAATCACTTGTCGTCAAGAAATAGAGGAATTAGAGAAAGAATTCTCCAGGTCGAAGTCATTCAGTACCAGAAAGTGTTAAGAACACCATACTGATGCAACGGTCAAAAACGAAAATCCTTTTTGATGTTTCTCTCTCCTTGTTCTAATGGTCAAAAGTTTAAAATATCTAATTAAGAGAAAACGACGTCATTTTATTTTTATTTTTATTTTTATTTTTAAGTTTTCTCCTATCTTTCACCGTCTCCTTTGTTCTTAAGATCAACGTAGTTAACAATTGTTAATTAACAAAACAAATTCGTTGAATTCAATTGCAAGAACCACAAGGCTTTGATACCACATGTTAAAACTAAACTCAAAATACTAGGAATTGTTCTAGCAATCAAACCACAACAAGTCTGTTTAAATCAAGAACGAGAAGAACATGACTAACCTGTAGATTAGGAAGATGATGTAGAAACCATCCTGACACAGAAACTTCTCCTCTCTTGCAAGATCTCGATGCTCAATCAAACAATAGGTATTTGATTCTCAATAGAGTCAGTATCTTGTGAGAGCAGCAGCCCATGTTATTTATACTGCGAAAAACAACTTGATTGCCCTATTACAATCCTATAAGGAATACTAAACCATAATCCTTATCCAAGCATGAGTCTTAATCCAAGTAAGTTGACGAGTCTCAATTCTATAAAATAGAACAACTCCAATTACGCATAGACTTCTTCATATCAATTCAAAACACTTTAATGATCATTACAAGTCTTACAAGAATCACACTCACACTCTAACATCGGCCTCATCGTTTTGACAGATCTCAAATTGGAAGGTTGCAAGAGAATGAAATCAATAACAGAGCTTTCATCAAGCATAAATTTCATAGGCGCCCATGATTGCACAGCTTTGGAAACTCTTTCAGGACCAAAGCTTCTTTACAGTAATCTTTACTTCACATTTTCAAAATTCTTCCAGCTGGTGCAAAATCTATTTGAAGAAATTGTAGAAGCTCATCAGGTCTCTCTCTCTCTCTCTCTCCACGTGCGAAAGTACGAAACATATCTAATACAAGTTCAGTCTACTTTGTTTTCGTTCTGTAGGGTTATCTGCAAACTCTTTCCTTGTTTATGTATCTTCCTGGAAGTAAACTTTCAGATTGGTTCAGCCATCAGTGTAGTGGATCTTCAGTAACTGTGCATCTACCACCGGTGTCGGATCATAAGATTTTGGGATTTGCTGTATGCGGTTTTACTAAGTTCAAGTACGCGCATTATATGTCTGATCTATCTGCCCTGTGTTTTTGTACCTTCAAAGGAGAGCACGGCGAGCTCAGTTTCAGATTTTATTTGCTTGATTGGAGTCACACGTGACAGGTTACTTGAGTCAGATCACATGTTCATGGGATATCTTCCATTGAAAATAGGAGTGCAGCTAAGTGAGCGCTGTACCACGGAGGCCACATTTAGAGTTGAACTAAAAGATGGAGTCCAATCACGTGATTCTTGGGCACCAGTGCAGCAGCATCGCATCAGAAGGTGTGGAGTTCGTCTCTTTTATGCCAATCATGAGGAGGTGCATAACCAAAGCATGACACAGCCCGACTTTCGTCATGAAAATTCTGGAGCGGAACTTCGTACTTTACGCAGATCACTGGTAAGAGTTGCTCATTCTAAGAGGAACCGTGAGGGGTGTTGCTATAATGAGGCTGAACAAAGTGGAGGTGAAACCCCTGATGCAGAGGATTTACAGTCTAAAAGATTGGTACTTCCTGATGGGGCAAAGGAAAACTGAAGAGAATAACTCCTGTGTGTTGGATTTGATGGCTTAGTTCTGTTGGGTCTCGACGCTTTCTTACGCGGACCTAAAACCAAACTGTTGTGGCTCTTTAGTTGGCATATGCGGATCCCATGCTAGGTCTTTTTAGTGCTCGTATATAAAGCCTCACAATGTGCAATTTGGATGAGAGGGTGGGAACCGAAGCAGCTGCACCAGTGTGACGGAAAGAGGAGCCGAAACCCAATAGAAGAGAGAAATAATTGGGAGCTGCTGCATTTAAGGTTTTGTAAGAGTGAATCCAATTAGAGATTGTTGTAGTTGCAGAGAGACAAATATTTTGTTTCTAATTCGTTTTTTTCCCTCTTCTATTTGTGTTTGTATTTGGGTGTATTTTGGGTTTGAGTTTGAGAGCTTTCTTTGTAATCTCGTTTTGTTTATTAGTGGAACTTCCTCTCTGTCCCCAAACTGGATATAGGTTTTCGCTAAACCAGTATAAATCTTTGTGTCATTTTGAATTGTTTGTTTTGTCATATTTTTCTGTATTAGTTTATTGATTTCAAATTAGCGCTTCCGCACAACACTCTAAACCCTAGTGAAGGTGGAGAGGAGCTTGTTGTATTTGGAAGTGCCAATTCAGATTATTTGAGTCATCCAATTTGACACTGACAGAGGTGGAGAGGAGCTTCTTGTAATGTCATTCAACATTAGAACAAGAGAACTAGCTAGATGTGCTGAAATTGAAGAATTCAGTTGCAAACAACACATTTATGTTGCTCATCAGAACAAGATTAATTAGAATAATTAAGTTTTTAATTGCCCAATTATTCCGTCTCATATGAATTTAGAATGTGGAGGACGTGTTTCTGCATTGTTTTTAAATGTCCTAAGCACTTTGCAGAGCAATAGTAACTTTGCAGCCACAAGACATCAATACCAATTACCGAGTACCCTTAATTATTCTTCTAGATGTCTCAGATACTCTTCGTGTTGACATGAATGAGAGATTTTTCAATGTGCTTGGCATACGGCTCGGTAAATCAAGTTTTATAATATAATTGGTTGGAAATTTGAAATATTTTTTTAATGAATTGTATCATGACTTTTGGTGTCCGAGTGATGTGTCGGCCACACAAAAAAATTTCTCGACATGAACACAACCAAAGGCATTGCTCTTAATTACTTATAAGAATACAGAGGTTACACGAAAGAAAATGGTTAGACTTTTCATTTCGCGTTCAATTTAAATGAATTGCACACGAGTTACTTAGTTACTCTATTATGTAAACGTACTAAAGTGTGCATCACTTTCGGATTAGGTGGGTTGGATGGAAACACAAACTCTTATTAACCATGTTAAATGGGTCAACACGATTATGCCCGACTCAAACAAATTTATTTTTTGTCTTTTCCAAGTCGGATTGTCGAATCTGTCTAAAATTGTTACCTCTACTCTTTCTTGGCACTTTCTACCCAAATTCGAGCAAAAACAATGAAAGGTACATCCGAACAAAAATACAATAAAAGGTACGTCATCCAACAACTTTCATATTTTTAATAGAAGAACACGCATCTAAGTGGTCTTTACTATAATGGTAGAGAAAATTATTGCTCTTACATTACAGTGTTGATTTGAATTTTGTTAGCTCCCTAAAGCCATTTTCAATGAAGAGAGCGAACGGTCTAAAAACTAAAATATTGTCTGATTTGTTCAAAAATTTATCTCTAACCAATGGTTTGGCTATAATTTGTAGAGCTCACAAGACTTTCTTTTTTTTTGGCCAAAAGAGCATCAAACTAACCAAATGTAGCCCCATTCTTAGACTTTTTTGGGACCCCAGCTTCTCACTTAAAATAATTGATTCATATTCAACGGCTAATTTGAAAACATCAAACGGTAGTTTAGTTAAATTAACAAATAAATTTAAAGTATAAACTTAAAATTAATAAATTATTAAGCGGGCTATATTTAACCGCTTTCAGTTGGAGATGGTATATGAGTATGACCTAGTATTATTTATTTAAAAATAATATTTTGCAAGGCTATAATTCTAAAAGTAACTGATTCTTTTCAATTAGAGATGACCTACTTTAAAATCTAATTCAATAAATCTATCGTTTAAAAAAAATAAAAAAACACGCATTATTCTCGTCATCGACTCATTGACTCACTGACTTTCTTAGGCGACATTTTTCTTCTGCAATGGGTTTTTATTTCGGAAGGTTGGTGTGGAAGGATAAGAGTGCACAGGGTGAGAAGCCCCATTGTTGTAGTGTCGCTGCCACCACTATAATTCCTGCACTGGATTTTTATTTTTTTTATATTTTGTCATGAATTAATTTCGATGTGTGTTTTCATTGAGTAAACAGGTTGTGTAGCTAATAGTATATATATCAAAGATTTTCAGAGATCATAGTATCGTTACTACCATCATCTGATTAAAAGACAAATAACCATTAATCGTTTGTTTTCCGTTTACTATCCAGTTGGATATGGTACATACATGAGACACTTAATTACACTTACCCATAGATATTTCTGGTCACCTTAACTCACTTTTCATATGGATAGGGAGATTGAGATATATTTCCAATTTACAAAGAAGTTGTTGGGTATGCAAGTGCAGACAGCAAAGTTGAACGAACACAGCTTGATGTAGATTAGTATAAAATATCATTTTGTTTTTAATTTTCTTATTGGTTACACAAGGTGTATTTGCCTTTTTGTTTCAATAAAATTTCACCTCCCACGTTTGAGGTTTCTTTAACAAAAACCAAATATAGATTAATGTAGAATATTATTTATAAAAAATAAAAATAAAAACATAGGCGTACGAATTAAATTCATAGAGACTTACATATTTACTACAAAAGTAGTTTTTTTTTTTTTTTTGGGACCGGTAAAACTCACATATCAAAATCAAACTTAAGATGCATTATGTAGAATACGGATCTGAAGTTTGTCTTGAATCACTGTTCACACGATGGTGATTATTACAAATATAGTTTAGGAGGCCAATTTCTTTCCGAGAAAGGGTTTCTCTCTGGATTCCTTCAACCTGAACCAACTGAGCACAAAATTTGAACCCTTTAAATTTAATCGAACGAGTTATTATAATTTTTAATAGAACCCCTATTTTAAATCGTTGAATTAAATTTTAAGAGTCCGAAATGTGCAATTGGCTATGGTGAAAGGGATCAGGATCCCCTTCCTTCTTTCCGGAGGTCAAACGACAGTGCATAAATTTTTTTTTTTTAATTTTTAAGCAACTAATAAAATACAAATTGAGAACCGCGTGATCTGATTACCGTCACACGCAAAAAGCCTAAAATTTTTCCACGGATTTTTAACTAATAAAAAAACCTATCAGTTGATCTGGACCGTTGGATTGCAATGATCACAAAATCTGGGCCATACGACAGCCTGGCTGATAGAATCACATCAGTCATCAGCTGCAGCTGCGCGGGGGCTTGCAATTTCTTCTTTTTCACATGGGATCCATCTGACTGAATCACATCAGCTGCTGCTCCAATTTGAAGATCAATTCAGTGTTTCAGTGCTTACATTAATCTTAGATACTCGATCGATTAATGGCTGCTGCTTCCTCTTCTTCTTCCTCTGTCCCTCGTTGGAAATACGACGTGTTCATCAATTTCCGGGGGGAAGACACTCGTAGGGGCTTCGTCAGCCACCTCTACAAAGCTCTGAATCAGAAAGCAATCAACACCTTTATCGATGCCGAAGAGCTCCGAAAAGGCAACGACCTTTCGCAGCTACTGATGGCCATCCGAGACTCGAGCGTTTCGATCGTAGTTTTTTCTCAAAACTACGCATCTTCCACATGGTGCTTGAAGGAGCTCGTCCAAATACTGGAATGTATGGATGTAAAGAACCAGATGGTGGTGCCCGTTTTTTACCAAGTGGATCCTTCTCATGTCCGCAAAATGAAGAGGCGTTTCGCGGAAGCTTTTGCCGAGCATGAAAGCTATCCTAATGCCGCCACGAGAGGTGCGGAGCTGGAGGTACGCTCTGAAAAGAGCGACCAATTTATCCGGTTGGGATTCGCGAAAGTACGAGTAAGTTTGGTATAATCCACTTAATTAATTTCAGTTGACAGTTTCCTGTAGTTTTTATGTCGAATAATATTAGGGTTACTAAATCAAATGATGTGGTTGTTGATAGTTGGATTATTATTAAGCATTAACGTCCTTATTTTTATTGATGACACATTGATTTGCAAATTTGGTTTAAAAATTTGATCTTCTTAATATTACCCTTTTATTTGATGTCAATATATTAATTTTTTTAAGCAAATTAATGTGTGTGACATTGGAAATTACAGTAGTTTGTAGCAAATTAATTTGTGACATTGTAAATTACGGTAGTTTTAAAATTATGCAGGGATGATGCGAAGCTTATTGACGAAATTGTAGAAGATATTTTTAATAAGTTGATTCAGATTTCATCAAGTGAAGCCGATGATGGCTTGGTTGGAATGGATTCCCACATTCAGGAAATGGATATAAGATTAAGTCCTCGGGTAAAGGATGATGTTCGCGTCGTTGGAATATGGGGTATGGGTGGTTTAGGTAAAACAACCATTGCTAGAGCTGTTTATGATAAAATCGCTTGTCAATTTGAAGCAGATTGCGTTCTTAAAAATGTCAAGGAAGGTTTCTCCAAGGATGGGGCAGTGCATATGCAGGAAGTGCTTCTGTCTAGAATCTTGAAGGAGAAAGTGCAGAGGTTAGGCACTTTGGATCGAGGTTCGAACATGATAATGGAAAGGCTAGGTAAGAAAAAGGTTCTTCTTGTTTTAGATGATGTGGACAATTTGGCTCAAATTGAAACCTTGCTGGGGAGAAATTTCTTCTTACCACGGAAGAAACATTCATTTGGTGGTGGAAGCAGAATCATTATAACAACTAGAGATAAGCATTTGCTGAGTAAAGTTGATGAGACGTACGAGCCCAGGTTTTTAGGTGATGATGAAGCTCTTGAACTCTTCGGGCAGTTTGCCTTCAGAACACTCCAACCCACAGGAGATTATACTCGTCTCTCAAGGCATGCCATAGAATATGCTCGAGGTTTACCGTTAGCACTTAAAGTCTTGGGAGCTTTCCTTGATAACAAAAGTGTAGATGAGTGGGAAGATGTGCTAGAGAAAATAAAGGAAGCCCCGCATATAGGAATTCAGGATGTGCTTCGGACAAGCTTTGATGGGCTAGATGATAAAGAGAAAGACATTTTTCTCGATATTGTATGTTTCTTTAAAGGAATGAAAAAATACTACGCAACAAAAGTTCTGGCTAGTAGTGGATTCTTCCCCCATAGTGGGTTAAGAGTTCTGGTTGATAAAGCTCTTGTGACTCTCTCACATCATGGTACACTTGAGATGCATGATTTGCTCGTTGACACAGGCAGGGAAATCATCCGCCAAGAATCTATTAAAGAACCTGGGAAACGCAGTAGGTTGTGGAATTATGAAGATGTTGTGCGTGTGTTGACTCAAAATACGGTGAGATATGTATATATGATCATGACCTCTAGCTCTTTCTCATTTCATAATATGTGAGTAATCTCTAGTAGAACTTCAGCTTTTGACAAAAATTAAAATTCATTGAGAAACATGTACAACTTTATATATAATCTTAATAAGTTAAATACATGCCCTTACTTTGCACTGTTGGTTATCATCCAGGCTACGGAAGCAGTTGAAAGCATAATCTTGGACTTGTCAAACTCATCGAAAGAGGTATGCTTAAAAACTGAAGCTTTTGAGAGAATGACGAGGCTAAGACTGCTGAAGATCCATTATAATCACTCCTTACACTCTGATGCTGAAGACCTTTCATATAAGGATGCATTCCATCCAACTGATTATTGTAAACAACACCTGAGTGGGGACTTGTCAAAGTTTTTTTCTAATGAGTTGAGGTGTCTCCTCTGGCATGGATTTCCCCAAAAATCTTTGCCATCCAATTTTCTACCAAAAAATCTTATTGACCTTAACATGCGTTATAGTCACATGGAGAAACTTTGGGACGGAACCAAGGTACGATCCCCATTTATTTTGGTTTCTTTTAAATGATTATGTTCTTGAATGCCTTACTATTACTTACTGCATGTTTTCCTGGTTTTCTTGTCAGTCTCTGAAAAAGTTGAACTTCATCGATTTAAGTCACTCTCAATATCTTACCAAAACCCCCAACTTCACTGAGGCAACAAATATTGTGAAACTAATTCTTGAAGGTTGTACAAGGTTACTTGAGGTTCACCCATCCATTTTAACTCTTAAAAACCTGGTTTTTTTAAATCTAAAAGGGTGCAAGGAACTGAAGAGTTTCCCAAGCATCGTTCCTATGAAATCTCTTGGAACTCTCAATCTTTCTGGCTGCTCGAGTTTTGACAAGTTTCCAGAGATTTCACAAATTATGGAGAGCTTGTCGGTGCTTCATTTAGCTGAGACTGCAATTAAAGAATTGCCCTCTTCAATTAAAAATCTTACAGGGCTTGCTTATATGAACCTAAAAGGTTGTGGAGAACTTGAGAGTCTTCCAAGCAGCATTTGTCAACTCAAGTCCCTTAGCTATGTTGCTCTTTCTGATTGTTCAAAGCTCAAGGTGTTTCCAGATCTTGAAGAAAATATGGAAGGAATGAGAGAGCTTCATTTGGATGGAACATCTATCGAAGAGCTTTCCCCATCAATTAACCGGTTTATGAGGCTTGCAATATTGAATCTGAGAAACTGCAAAAGCCTTTTCTGTCTTCCGGACAATGTCTGTAAGTTGGCATGTCTTACAGGTCTCACTCTCTCTGGGTGCTCCAAACTTTCTAACTTGCCCGATAACTTGGGTAATTTAGAATCCTTGTGGGACCTTCAAATAGAAGGAAGTGGTATAAAGCAATTCCCATTCTCCATTTTACGCTTGAATAAGCTTTTATCGTTATCATGTGATGGATGTAAAGAACTTAGGGCTCCCTTTTCATCATGGCCATCAATTAGAGTTCATAGAACGTCAGCACTTAGATATCATGGTTACTCTACTCTGGAAAGTCTTGATTTAAGTGACTGCAATCTGTTGGAAATATCAGATTGTATTGCTTATTTGACTTCAGTGAAAAGATTAAGTCTTTGCAGAAATGACATTGAGACTTTACCGGGAACGATGGTTGACCTGGGTGGATTAATGTCTCTTGAGCTGGATTCTTGCAAGAGACTGAAATCAATACCAATGCTTTCATCAAGTATAAGTTACATAGATGCCCATGATTGCACAGCTTTGGAATATGTTTCATCACCGATGCCTAATTGGGGGAATCTCTATTACTTCATATTTTCTAATTGCTCCCACCTGGAACGAAATCCATTAATGCATATTATGCAGTGTCATTTGAGTTTGGTATCTCTCTCTCTCTCTCTCTTTCTCTCTCTCTCTCTCTCTCACATACATGTTTACACACATACACAACTCGTGCATACTGTGTACATAATAAACTTGACCCAATTATGCTAACCCTTGTTTTCATTCGTGTATAGGGTATCCTACCTCATTCTTTTTATACGTGTCTCCCTGGAAGTGAAGTTCCAGATTGGTTCAGCTATCGCTGTAGGGGGAGTTCAGTAAATGTGCAGCTATCGCTGAATTTGTACGATGATAAATTTTCGGGATTCGCTATATGTGCTGTTTGCAACTTGCAGGGTGCTCACTCTGTATCTGATCTATCAGCTTTATGTTTCTGTAACTTCAAAGGAAATCATGGGCAGCACAGTCTCAGTTTCTATTTGTTCAAAGCAGGTTTAAGAGCCGACAGATTCTCTTACCGAAAAAAAGGAACTGACAGATTCCTGGACTCAGATCACATGTTCCTGGGATATGTTCCATGGTCTGATTATCGCTTGATTGAAGGAGAGCGGGCCCGTGAACGCTTTTACACTGAGGCCACATTTACAATTATATTAGAAGATGGAATCTATACAGGTGATTTTGGGACAGAATTACGACGCCGTGCCATCTCAAGTTGTGGAGTTCGCTTCTTTGATGCTAATTAAGAGGAAGTGCAAAGTCTAAGCCCACTGATCACCCAGTCCATATCTTTACTCCTGTTGGATTTATTCAATGTGAATCAACCTTTAAGTGGTTCAGCAATCAGAGTATGCGATCTTCCGTAACTGCGAAGCTATCACCGAATTGGTTCAGTCATGAGATTTCGGGATTTGCTGACTGCGCTGTTAGTAACTTTGACGGTATCAACTCCTAAATGTTTACGTACCCTAGAAGGAAACGATGGTCAGTACGGCTTCATGTTCAATTTGGTTTGCTGGAATAGCAAAAATGACAGGTTACTCAAGTACATATGTTCCTGGGGTATATGCCATGGTCCAAGAAGTGAACTGGACGATGAGGCCACATTTGAAATTGTTGTTGAAAGTCGAGTGTTTACAAGTGATTTCAGAGCACCAGCACCGAACACCCTGCATCAGAAGGTGCGGCGTCGGTTCTTTCACGGTGACGAATTGATGATCATGATGAAGCAGCCTCCTCTGCTTCATGACATGATCTTCTAGCTAGCTAGCTACTGTGCTAATTGGGTCATTTTTAAATTTTATTCAACAAAAAAATATATATTTATTTTGTCATTAAAAAAAATCAAGTTAAAGCATCCTCTCGCCACTTCGACAACACTGAGTTGCATTATCATACCATTCATAACTTGTCATGTGTTGAAGCACTTTTACAATTTCCTATTTTTAATTTTATATCTTAATGAAATGTGTAATGCTAGGGAGATTAAATTTGTAGACTAAATTTAAAAACTAAATGATGTGTTACCAATAAGAATGAGTACGTTTATCAATGTTTAAGTAATAAATCAATCATTAACTTTCATGTCCTTTAGTTTTCAAAACTTTGTCTATAACTTTAGTCTCCCTAACATTACCCTAATGAAAGTAATGAAAAAACTATATGCAAAAGTAAATGAGAATTGCTAAGGAGACTATTAAAAAAAAATGGGACCCTTCATGGACTTTTCTCCCATCTCATACCTTCTGCAAATGTTTTATAATGTTGGCACTGGAATTGTGCCAAAAACACAAGGTGGCGGCGAGTCCCACTTTTGAGAGGGGTAATACTAAGACCATCTCCAATGGTTAGGCTAAAAGCCAAATTTTTTAGTCTGGAAAATTTAGCTTTTAACTTAGAAACAGTTTTTCTACTCCAACCGCTATAGCCTAAAATATTAGCTCAGGATTATTAAAGAATGAGCTTAGACTATTTTTTTCTTAAATTAATTTAATAAATAAATAAATAAATATGTAGACTATCGTAAATTAATTTTATAAATATTTTAATCTAAAAAAATTAAATTCCGATAAATATTGAAAAATCACTGAACTTTCCACAAAGCAAGCCTTCAACTTTCACCAATCTTGCAACTTAAAAGCTTGATTTTTTGGTGTTATTCTGGTCTTGTAAATTTCCATTGCTTTGTCACCCTATGCAAAAAATACATAAAAATAATTAGTTGCAAAATAATATTATGTACATGACAAATAAAATATCAAGAACAAAACTCGCAATTTCTATAGCGCTCTATCCACTAGGCATGCCAATCATGGCTCTCTTCAAGCTTCCCTTCCATAAAGTGCATGCTTTGTTGATAGTCTTCCACCGATCATAAACACCACCACCATCCTGCCCGTCTGTAACACCTTAGCCCCGAAATATGTTTTATTTCGGAAAATAGTTCCAATGATAGGCCCAATTCAATTTTCCTGTTTGATTTATTAAACGTTCACACAATTTATAACTAGAATACATAAGATTTCCTTTTTTAATAAAATTCCAAACTCCTTACTTAGTTCAATTTCTCAATCAAAGTTTTGTCTCATTTATTTAATCTCACTTATTGTATGGTTGCATTTAACGTCTCGTTAGACTGCCTACGTACCCTAAACAAGGATCAAGCCATTCGTAATTCACATTTCCAAAAATTCAACCCAAATCCGAATATATTCCTTTAATCCAACATATACCACAATTGTGTTAATATTCAAACCACATCAGTTAGATCTCAAAAGCATAATTAAAATAGTGAAATGCACCTAAAAACACAATGTCGGCTCCCTGGCCGTGCGCCGCCATAGGAGGCTGTCAGCCACTCTGACTCGCCGGAAAATTCAACTATTCCTAAAAATTCTCAAAAATTACAGAAATGAATATCTCAAAGAGTAGAGCAAGTTTTATATCTGTGGCCAAGTCCAATTTGGCCGAGATAAGCTCCAATTTCCCTCGAACTCACCGAAAACCCTAGAAATGGGTGTTCTTGATTCGTCACCTCTAGTGCACCGCCGCCTCTAAAATTGTTTGGATCTTGTTCCAGACCTCAAGAGAAGTCTAGTGGTGTTGGTATTTGATCCAAATCGTTTCAGATTTGGTGGATTTCGAACAAGGAGGGTCACGGCACCCACAGTTTCAATCTTCGTGAAATCTCAACCAATTCTTGTCTATTTTGGCTAGAATGGAATGATGGGAGGTTGTGATGATGTTTAGTAGTGGGTCCTAAATTCACTTGAGAAATGACTCAAAACCGTCGAAAAAACACATGGTATCCGGATTCTAAAAACGGATCCCGGATTCTAAAAACGGGTCACGGTTTGGAAATGGGTCAGGGGTTGATTGTATGTCTTCTCACTCCCTCCTTTCCCCCTTGTCCTTCTTCCTGATTTGTCCTCCCATCTTCCTCATTCCCCTCCTGCAACTATGTTCTCCCATCTTTCTCACTGCCGAATCCGGCTCCCCTCACCCTTCTCTTTCTCCGCCACCCACATGGCCTCCTTCTACCCCAAAACAAACTCCAGAAATTCTGGAGTTTTCCAAATCCAAGGACAAATTTACAATTTTGCCCCCACCTTCGTTCCTTTTTATTTTATTCGTTATAATTCCGTTTGACGAAAGGTTTTCGCCTACGTGCTCATGGGATCGAGCTCTATCCAAATATTCCAAGAAATACAATAAAATATGTGAGGGTAAAATACGTCCTCGTATAACTACGTTATACCAACTCTGGCACTTTTGTCTTTTCCCACTTATCGATAAAATTTACGACATCAATTATAATAACTTCCGGAAACAAAACTTTAAAATTTCCCAATTCTATTTTCATAACCATAAATCGATTTATTTTCGATTTTATCCACATATTCATAATTATGAATATCTAATTCATACATTTAAATTTTCAGTGTATTACACCGTTGCCGTTGCAATTTTCTTGAAACTTTGCAATGATTTTATCCCACAAAAACTTTTTTATTTTGATTTGTGTCAACTGCATCATCTTCCCTAACAAAAACCGATGCCAAGCATAAAGCAACATCTTCCTCACAGGTCCAATTATAACCTCTAATATGCTCTCTTGCCATGTTGAACAATTTGGAAATGGTAAGAAATGGTAGAAAGATAAATTGGAAGAATTGTAGGAGAAAATTGAGTTTTGTGTGGATGATTGAACAAATACATAGGTATTTATAAAGTTTTTGGGTGAATTTTGAGTTAAATATATATTTTTATAATTATTTTAGCCGTTGAATTTAAATTTGGGTCTTTAGATCTATTTTTTTACCGTTAGATTTGATTATATTCGATCTCAGCCGTTGGATTCAATAATATATATAAATATAAAAACAAAAACAAAAATTTGAATCTAGGCCGTTGGATTAATGAACGGCCTAATGATCACGATCGTTGGATGCAAGGCGGAGCATGGGCGACAGGCCCACGTGGGTGGGTCCCTCGCGGTCGGAAGGCTCGCGCGTTAGACGCGTCTGAAAAGCAAGCATTTTGGTGGGGCCCACACCCACTTTTGGGCTAAATTTTGGGTGGAATCTAGCCTCACTTCCCTATTTAGCTTTTAGCCCAAAGTTTCCCCTTGGGTTGGACTGAGTTTGGGGGGAAATTTTGCCCATAGCCCACCATTGGAGTGAGTCTAAGTAGACTAAATTTGGAAATAAAATTTACAAACTAAACGATGTGTCACCAATAGAAATGGACACATTTTATCAAGGGAATTTTAACAAAAAACCCGTGGTACTGTTCATTTTAAAGAAAAACCATATTTTTACACTAAAAAGTCAAACCTGGTACTATTCACTTTACCCTTTATTTTGTCCTTATCGTTAAAACTCAAAGTTTTCAAGCCATTTTTATCAGTTTTCCTTTTTGTGTAATTACTGGATTAAAATTTCATTAATCCATGAAGAGTTGAATTATTAATCAAATAATTATCAAGGACATAAACTCTTGTTTATGACTCATCTCCATACTGCAAAACATGCGATTCGGTTGTTCTTGTTCGAACCCGTAATTTAGTCGACATGGTCATAGACTTATAGTACTCTAATTTTTCAAGTATGTTATGAAAAGGTACATCCGGACAAAAATACAATAAAAGGTACATCGTCCAACAACTTTCATATTTTTAATAGAAAAACGCGCATGCAACTTGCTTTTTATTTCATTAAATAAGAGAAGTCTTATCTTTACATCACAACATGAATCGAATTTTGTCAAATTTTTAATTTAATATTTAATTTAACAAAATACATCCTTTAACAATAAAATAAAATAAAATAAAAAAAAACACGCTTATTCTAGTCATCGACTTGTTGACCTTCTTAAGCCATAATTTTCTCCTGCAATGGGATTTTATTTCGGAGGTTTAGTGTGGAAGGATGGAGTGCACGGGGTGAGAAGCCCTTTTGTTGTTGTGTCGCTGCCACCACTATAAATCCTGCGATGGGTTTTTATTTTTTGTCGTGAATTAATTTCAATATTTTTATTGAGTAAACAAGTGTTGTAGCTACAAGCATATACATTAAAGATTTCAGAGTAGTATCGTTATTACCATCATCAGATTAAAAGCTAAACAACCATTTATCGCTCATTTTTTTGCCTACTATGCAGTTGGATATGATACATATGTGAGATGCTTACCCTTAACATGGATATTTCCAGTCAATCCTAACTCACTTTTGATGTGAATAGGGAGATTGGGATTATTTCCGGTTTACTAAGAAGTTGTTCGGTGTGCAAGTGCAGATTCAACTTAATTAAACGAATCCCGTTTAGTATAGATTAGTGTAGAATATCATTTTTTTATTTGGTTACACTAGGTGCCCGATCAGTTGAGTTAGTATTCTGTTCTGACATCATTCTTAGTCTTAGCTGCTCGATCATCACTGACCAGGTTCAGTGTTTTCAATTGTCATGAGCACTTTGTCTAGTTGTAGTAACTTTGCAGCTACAAGACATAAATTTCACGTACCCTCAATTACTCTTCCATATGTCTCAAGTTCGTGTTGACATGAACACAACACAAAGACGACACGATTAATTACTCATACGAATACAAAATTTATATAAAAGAAAAAGGTTAAAATTGTCATTTCACATTCAACTTAAATGGATTGCACTCGAATTACCGAGTTACGTGATTATGTAAGCGTTTTAAAGTCTACATCGCTTTCGGATTAGATAGGTTAGATGGAAGCACAAACTCACATTAACTGTGTTAAATGGGTAGGTACGGTTATGCCAACCTCAAACAAAATTGTTTTGTTTGAAATGTGTATGTATTAGATGATATATTAGTTAACGACAGGGTTTACATCTATACCATCATGCAAGGACTTAACACATTTTTACTATTGTGGTAATGAGCCACTTGCCAGTCCATGAAATGATTGATTGGTGTGGCTTTGTCACCATGAGAAATTTTTAGTTGTGACGGGAACACGGGTGATACACTACGTGTTTTTATGTAAATGGTGGAAAATTTTATTTTTTAAATTATTAATTTTTTAACACATATATCCCATCATTTATATAACGATACGTGATGTACCGTTCCGTATGACGGTAACATTATCTCTCTGTCATCATGGAGTCACTTTAAAAAAAGCAAATTTGTTTTGTCCTTTTCACACCTACTCTTTTGTCACACTTTCAACCTAAATTCGAAGAAATACAACGAAAGGTACACAATCGAACAACTTTCATAGTTTAATAGAAAAAACGCGCATTATCATGGTCACTGACTCATTGACTTTCTTAGCCTACATTTCTTCACCCGCCCGAGAGAACGCGTATCTTTGGATCGAGGCCACTCATCTGCCTATCGATTGGACCATATTTTCCAGTTATCAATTGTTTCTGTTCGGGTACAACTTTCCAGTAATCGTTGGACTCCTAGCTCCAACAATCGAGTATTTTAGTTCTTACATCAATGGCTCTTTCTTCTTCTTCTTCTTCAGTATCCCACGACCTTAGTAGGAAATATGATGTTTTCGTCAGTTTTAGAGGCAAAGACACCGGCAGGGGTTTTGTCAGCCATCTGCTCAGAGCTTTCAATCAGAAATCAATCAGTACATACGTGGATGCTGAAGAAATTAACAGAGGCGAAGACACCAGCAGCAGGAGTTTTGTCAGCCGTCTGCTCAGAGTTTTCGATCAGAAATCAATCAGTGCGTTCTTTTATGCTGAAGAAATTAACAGAGGCGACCTAACTTCGGTGAAGCTCCTAGAAGCCGTCGAACGGTCGACGCTTTCGATTGTAGTTTTTTCTGAAAACTACGCTTCTTCCAGATGCTGCCTCGACCAACTGGTCCATATTTTGAAATGCGGTCATACAATGGGCCAGCTGTTGGTGCCCATTTTCTACGGAGTAGATTCTGCAGATGTTCGTCGAGCCACCGGATGTTTTGGGAAAGCTTTTGAAAAATATGACCGCCAAATGAAAGAGGCTGCGCTTCGATGGAGGTGCGCTCTAAATGAAGCCACCCGTTCTGTTGGCTGGGATATACAAGAATATAGGTAATCTGAATTAAAGTTTCACATCCTTACATGTATAGTATATGTACAGGTCTAAACCGTTTATATGCCTTTTAGGTCTTACTGAAGGATTATTTTTACAAAAAATCATCCAAATCAAAAATCATTTGACTGTTGAATTATAGTGATCACTTTAGTGTTTTTTGGAAGAACATTAAGGGGTCGGATTAATCTAATTTGTAGAAAAAATGATTGTGAATGATGTAATATCACAATATAGATGATTCAGATTGTTAAAAAATCTCTAGCGACGGAGAGATCCCTCAATAGAGACGGTATATGCATACATGCGTACATAAATAGTTATATGACATTACTACCTAAGGAAATTGTGCAGTGCTGTTTTTGAAATTTCACATCTGCAGGAATGAAGCCGACATGATTAAGGAAATCGTACAACATGTTTTTGACAAGTTGATCCACTTCTCAAGGTCTGCCCGTCTTGGGAAATACGATGTCTTTCTCAATTTTAGAGGTGAAGATACTCGCAAGAGTTTTGTCAGCCATCTATACAAAGCTCTGTCTCAAAAAGTAATCAACACCTTCATGGATGATGAAGAGCTTGGAAAAGGCAACAGCCTTTCGGAGCTCCTGGAATCTATCAAAGAGTCACGAGTTTCGATTATTGTTTTTTCTGAAAACTACTGTTCTTCCTCATGGTGCTTAAAAGAGCTCGTGCAGATCCTCAAATGCATGGATGAACAAAATCAGATAGTGGTCCCCGTTTTCTACGAAGTTGATCCATCTCAAGTTTGTAAGCCGGAAGCTTTTCCGAAGGCAGAGATGGAAGAGGTGCAGAGCTGGACGTCCGCTCTGACAAGAGCAACCAATTTAACTCTACCTGGCTGGGATTCAAGAGTACCTGGTTGGGATTCACGGAATTACGAGTAATTTTTGTTTACTTATATTCTTAATTTCTTTTAATTTCGTATTAAGGGGTTGAGCCTTTCATAGCATTTAGTTTAATTTGATTTGGTGTCAGTATACATTCTCCTACCAAGTACCAATACTGTTTTCATATTCCGCAGGGATGATGCCAAGCTTATTGAGGACATTGTACAACATATTTCAGACGGGACATGTTTCAGAAGGGACACGTTTGAGCACGATTCTGTTTAGATATGAGCTTGGTTGCAGATCAATTCGAGCTAAATCAATGTGGTGTTCTTTCAGTTTCAGTTTCAATGGATTTGTTCTTAGTTGTAATCAACGGCTAGAATTAGAAATGTTTTGAACGGTTAGATGTCTGCCGGCTGTATAGCAGCTGAGTCTTTTAAGTGATTTGTGCGCTGTGCACGTGATCGAGTCATGCTTGCAATGTGAAGATTGGAACGGCTATATCGTTCTCACTTTCAGCGTGTGAGAGCAGTTCCACCGGACACAAAGTTGCCCAGCACCCTGTCCAAATATACAAATGCAAATTGGTTTCAGTAAGAAACAGTTTGTCCAGATAGCCAAAATATATGCATGCTACTTTTAACAAAATATATGCATGCTACAGCTTTTAACAAAATATATTGTTGTTGGTTTGAAATGTCAATTGCGGTTACTTTGTCCAAGTAACATGAGTACAAAGGCGTTTTTCATTGCACCATCCAAAGACAAGAATGTCCTCTCATTTTGTGGCTTTTTGAAAAGGATATTTAGTGCCTTGATTTGATCCTCAATAGACAAATTCATCTTTGACAATTCTGAAACAATCTCAAGATTTTGATCCACTCCTTTCCCAAAAGCAACTTGTAAAACTTCACCCAACTTATCAACTGATTCAGAAAGCATTTCTTTAAATGCCACAGCAAGATCATTATCATTAGCAGCTCTCTTCCTTTTCTGGGTACTTGAACTACTGGACCGTCAAGCAACAAAAGGGAGAACTAGTCTCCGCCCTCATCTTCATCTTCATCTTCATTAATGTGCTCAGGCTCATTCATCATCATGAACCACATCATTTCCTAACAAATGTACGATTCCGCCTTCTAGAACCACATCATCATGAACCACATTCATCTTCATCTTCATTAATGTACCATTCTCCTAACAAATGTGCAATTTCTAAGTGCAAGTTGCTGATTCCGCCTTCTAGCTGAATTATGATTCATCATGAACCACATCATCAACCAAGTCACAATATTCAAGTACCACAAGTTAACAAGAAGCATGCCAAAATCTTTCTTTCATCCATATCTAGTGATAATATAAAATAACATTATTAGATAATGGCAAAAAATTAAGTAACTAGAGCATGAATGCATAATAACACTGAAAACGGAAGGAAGCATGTTAATAAGTCCTACCAAAAAATGTCATAGGCAGATAATAAATCCTATAGACTTTTGCGGTGATCAGAAGGAAAAATTACAATCCAATCAGAAAGATGTCTTGACATTCATCAGTCAAGGAAGCATGTTACGAATCGAATTCACAAAATCAAAACATCAAGTTCCGGAGAGAAAAGAAGTCTAGTCTATGATGGCATTTTGTATGACCTCAAAGCATTATATATTCATCGCCTCATGTTGCATCAAAATTGAGTGTCATGTTGCATCAAAATTAAGCTGAAACATCAGAAGGGTAGCAGCTCTCCCCTTCTTCTCTATTTCTCACTCACACTCTCTTTTTTCTAAAAGGCAATTACTTTACAAACTGGAATAAATGCCAATCAACAATCAACAACCCTAGTTCGAAATTATTCACACACACACACACACACACATATATCCAGATAAAAAGTAAAATTCACATAAAAATTAAAAAATGGATAAAAGCTCAGAGGGAGTGATGCAAAAACTGAGAAGAACAACAATTTGGATTTAATTTTCGGGGCTGGTGATGGAGAGAGAGAGAGAGACCAAGAGCGAAGAGAAATTGGCTTACCCAATTGTCCGTATGGTTGCGTTGCGGCTGCGAGACAATGAGTGAAACAGGAGTTGCGCCAGAGACAAAGTTTTATTTAGGTAAGTGAACTTGCACACTCCCACTCTACCCAATCATTAAAATTCTAATTAAAATTCAACACCAACAATAAACCCTAAATTTGACCGCAATAGCAAACCCTAAAATTCAAAAATTCTAATTAAAACACAAAATTACATAATCAATTGCATAATTAGAGAGAAAATAATAACTAGGTTCAATCAATTGAAAGAAAATTGCAAGAAAAATAGGAGGAGGGGGAAGAATAGAGGGAGGGGCGGAATCCCAGAAGAAGAAAACTAAAAAGACGAACTGTGATTCAAACAAAGAAGAAGAAGTTGAGAAGACGAACCTGGGATGAGAGGAAGAGAGAGCACCTGGAGAGGAAGAGTGCGCAAGCGAGAGCGAGCCCGACTAAGTTATACCGTGAATTTGGACGGTATAAGCAAGCGGGTAAACACCGTGTAAAAAAGGTGGGCCCGGATTATTTAATCCGGTACCTATTTAATCCAAACGATCATCAAACACCGTACACTGTATTATTAGTATTATCCGTGCCTTATACGGTGTGCCAAACAGGACCAGTTCCTATATCCATTCCTGGAAGAAGATGGTGATAACAAACAAAGCCTTTTTTCCCCTCTTTTTACGAATAAAAATAATTATAAAAAGCAAAAAATGAATCACGCGCTATTTTGTTGCCATTGAATTTCCTATTACATTACTGGAACAAGACATAAGAACACATAAAGCATTTATTTTTTTCAGAAATTCAGAGGATGTTTTATTTTTTAAGTATATTGTTTGGCCTGGACTGACTTGGAATTTAATAATATTTCATTTCATGTCCACACTTACACGCTTTTGACCGACACCAGTCATCTTCCTATCGATCGGACCAACATCCAGCGGTCCTTTTTCAGGGTACTCTGAAGATCAATCCAGTATTTCAGTTGTTATATCAGTTGGCAAGAATCGATATTGTGCTTGTTAATGGCTGCTTCTCCTTCTTCTGTTTCATCCGGTGATCGATATGATGTGTTCATCAATTTTAGACGCGAAGACACTCGCAAGATCTTCATCGGCCATCTTTACAAAGCGCTGGATCAGAAAGCAATATACACTTTCATTGATGGTGGCGATCCGGAGCTCCCGGCAACTACCCAAGAGTCAAGGCTCTCGATTGTAGTTTTTTCTAAAAACTATGCATCTTCCACGCGGTGCTTAAAACAACTCGTTCATATCCTAGATCGTTTGGATACAAATAAGCATATTGTGGTGCCCATTTTCTACCAAGTAGATCCGTCTGATATTCGTAAACTCGCTGGAAGTTTTGCCGAAGCTTTTGTTCAACATGATCGCGATTCTAATGCCAACATCGAAGAGGTGCAGAGCTGGAGGTCCGCTCTAACTACGGCCGCCAATTTAAAAGGCTGGAATCCACGAGATTATAGGTAATTTTATTTAGCTACTTTCTTTGTTTGAGCTTTTCATAGCATTTAGTCTGTTAAATCGGTATCACAATATTTTATGTACGTGTTTTAGTAGAATATATATGGCATTACGGCTTAAGAAAATTGTGCAATACTGTTTTTCAAATTCCACAGGGATGATGCCAAGTTTATTGAGGATATTGTGCAAGATATTTTTAGTAAATTGCTCCAATTCAGCAAAGTTTTCATCACTTATAGAGAGATAGACACTGGCAAGAGTTTTGTCAGCCATCTCACCAATGCTCTGAATCAGAATGTAGTCAGCACCTACACCTCGATTATTAAAGGCATTGACACTCCGGGAATCCTCCGAGCTATTCAACAATCAAGGATTTCGATTGTAGTTTTTTCCGAAAACTATGCTTCCCCATGGTACTTAGATGATGTGATCCAAATCGTAGAATGTGCGAAAAGTTACGGTCAGATAGTGATTCCCGTTTTCTATGGAGTAGATCCATCTGATGTTCGTCGAGCCACCGGGCCCTTTGGGAAAGCTTTTGCTCAACTCGAGAGAAGTTATAAGGACAATATGTACAAGGTGATGCGTTGGCGCCACGCTCTAACCGCAGCCGCCGATTATCCTGGATTTGATCGCAATAATTACGAGTAATTTTTCTGTATAAAATCTTAATATTTTTAGGTTCTAATTTTGGCCCTTTTTAATTTAAGTACTATTTTTCATATTGAATAGGGATGATGCCAAGCTTATTGAGGGCATTGTACAAAGTACTTGGAGAGCCTGCCGTGATTTCGACGGTCCACGGATCATGAATTGGGAGCTTGAATGAGACTGTAATCAAATACCAGAGCTTTTCACCGAGTATAAATTACATGGATGAGCAAGAAATCACAGCTTTGGAAATAGTTTCAACTTTCAACACCAAAGCATAATTACGTTGAGGGATATATTGTGGGTTTTATTGCTTTTGAATAAACAAATTTCTGTAAAACATTAGAAGGTGTCAATTAGGTCCTGTTATTGAGGACATTCATCGACTGGCTAGGCCATTCACTAGACTATCCCGGAAAGCATGTGTTTAGGGAGGCGAACTTCCTACTATGGACAGATCTTATTTCTATGATCGTGTACTATTACAATTGTGGCGTGTAATGCTTATATCCTTGATTGTATGAGTGTGGATGCGGTAGGGAATTTAGTTTGTACCTGGTTGTGTGGTTGTGCTCCTTTCTGTATAAAATTTCTCTCTTGAAATAAGGTGTCTTCTATGGCGTAGATGTCCTCTAGAGTCCTTGCCGTCCAGTTTTGCCCCACATAATTTTGTTCATCTTAGCATGAAATATGGTGACATTGGACAACTTTCTGCCTTTTTGTTCCACTCTACCCTCATATAAGCTTCAAAGAAATGTAGGAACGCTTTTGACGCCGACAATAAAAGGTACCTACTTCTGCTGTGAAAAACTATTGTCACTCTGGCCTGAAATTCTTGGTTTAAGTGACTGTTGGAGGTGTCGGATAGTATTAGCCATTTATCTTCCTTGAAAATATTAAAATTTTGCAGAAACATTTTTGAGAGCTTACCTGCGACAGTGAGTTGACTTCTTTGTTTGACAACTCTCAAATTGGAAGCTTGCAAGAGACTGAAATCAATACCAGAGCTTTCATCAAGTATAACTTCAAGGATTCTCAACCGGTGGATATAGAGAAATGCAGCTACGCTTCTGATAGAAGGTACAATGTAGAGAGATTTCAATACATTTTGGGAATTGTTATTAGCACTCCAAAATTCTTATTTGGCACTCCAAACTTTCTACAATTAGAAAGAAAAATACACTTATGAGGAGTGTAGAATGAGATTTTTGGAGTGCTAATAACAGTTCCCTACATTTTATATAAATATAATGTTATTTAACACTCATGTTTTTAAACATAAGGACAACTTCTAATTCCTGTATCAATCTATTTTTCAAATTGATTAAAATTTGCCGGGGTGGTGGATGCTTCGGCTTTGATGTCTGTCAGTGGTTCATAAGCTTTGGCTGATGGAGGCAATGTGTTCTCTATAGACTATGGTGTTTATCGGTAGCAAGTCAACAAGCACTGATCCCAGATCCTTGAACTCTAAGGAAACTTTGGATCCGCGTTTTGTTTCTGGGGATATTGTGATTTGTGGCAGTGAATAATCCTAACGTGCAGAAGGGACTGTTGGTGAAAGATGGAGGAGGAAGAGGAGGACGAGTAGGTATGATTTTGCCAAACACAGCTGCATCGCTTAAGAATGCGGAGTTTCATTTCTATATATGCCAATTGTGAGGAAATGCAAAACCGAAGCATGTTGCAGCCCCAAACATCATCATGAAAACTCTGAAGTGGAACTTCGTGTCCTTGGCAAAATCACAGGTAAGAATTGCCAATCAATATTTCAGGTGTGTTCTGTTTCTTTATACTGCTATTTGTGTTTTTCTTTATGTCTACTCAATTAATAAAAGTAGTATTACGAATTTTCAGTCAGTGGCAGGTTTCACCCTACAGAGGAAGAATGATGCCGTCAACAAATAAGCAACCGGTATGTGTATACTGGTAGGCTGGTAGCAATTCACCAAACCCTGATCCCACTTCCTTGTTTCGGAAGCAACTTTAAATTGCTGTGTTGTTGCCAGGGAGACTGATTTGTTACCGTGGGATGAGTTCGGGAGTGCAGAAGGGACAGGTGGGAGCTAGTAGGCATGATCTTGGCAAAAATATGCAAATGGAAAGGGAAGTTGTGACAGATTGCCAACTTGTTCCTGCTTTTGACACTTCGCAGAACCGTTACTCTAGCATTATGTTTAACAAGCCCAAGAACCTCTGCAACTCTAGCATTTCTTGGGACTCAGTTGGAGTCCGCCTGCAATAAAGTCTGCCTTTCATGACAGCACGCGTAAGCCTCTGCAAGATGCCTCAACAGCTGCGGATTCAACCCTGTATGATCACGGTGCACACCTCAATAGTTAGCCTCCTTCCTCAACCTCAGAACAAAATCAAAAGAACAACGTGCGTTGAAATGTAGAACTATTCATAATTTCTCAATTCCCAATTGATTTTAGAATATAAGAGATCAGGCAAGAAGCTTTGTAGAGTTGCAATAACCTATGGAAGTGACGCAGGACGAAGCAAGAGAGATACAAACATAAGCCCTTGAAGAATACAATTTTTGAGTCCACCAGATTTTGGTTGAAAACCCAAAGGTTGTTTTGTTTAATTGATTAACTTGATGCTTACAAATGAACAGCCAAATGGCTTAAATAAATATAGTACATCTGTTGGGACAACTCAAAGGACTAATGGCATAAATTGAACAACAAACAAAAAGTCTAAATTTTTATTATAAACTTAAAATTGCATTTTAGAGGCTGAAACAATTTCAAATGGCCAAAATTCATGAGTTTGACTCGTGGCGTCGTTCTCTTTCCTAAAAGGTATTAAGGGTCCAATTCGGAGCTTGGACGCCAAATAGACAAATTCACACTGCATTCTTTTGTCTTTTGACAGTTCATCTCCTCCTCGATTCATTCAGCCATTTGTTCTACGTCAGAAATGTTTATGGTTAACGTGTCGCGTCTGAAATCATGAGCTCTAGAAAAGAAGAAAGAGTTACCATTGGATGGTAAATGCCTGGTAAGTGCCCACGGGCTTTGGGCCTTACATGTTTCCAAATGACACCAGTGCACACTTTAGCCCATTCAACCAAGTCCAATCTGAATCGCTTTCACCGACAATGGAGGGAGGGAGTGAGGGAGGGCGTTGACCTGCAATCTCAGCATCCCTCCAATTCAAACAATTATTGAAGACCAGGTATTTCACTTTCATCGGATGTTAATGGCGGCTGCTTCTTCTTGTTCTTCGTCTTCATCGGACAGTAGTTGGAAATATGATGTATTCCTGAATTTTAGAGGGGAAGACACTCGCAAGATCTTCATCGGCCATCTCTACAAAGCTCTGAATCAGAAAGCAATCAACACCTTCATTGATGGCGAAGAGCTTCGAAAAGGCAACGACCTTTCGGAGCTCCTTACAGCTATTGCCGACTCGAGGCTATCGATAGTAGTTTTTTCCGAAAACTACGCTTCTTCGACGTGGTGCTTGAAAGAACTCGTCCAGATACTGGAATGCATGGATACACAAAAGCAGATAGTGGTGCCTGTTTTCTACGAAGTGGATCCATCCGATATTCGTAAACTCGAGGGAAGTTTTGCAGAAGCTTTTGCTAAACATGAAAGCGTTTCTAACGTTGATGTGAAGGAGGAGCAGAGCTGGAGGTCCGCTCTTGCTAGAGCCACCGATTTATCCGGTTGGGATTCAAAAAATTATAAGTAAGTTTAATTTGTTCGCATGCATTTGCTATTAATGTATTTTTACTGTATAAATCCACGGTTTTGATCACAACTAACTTCCTTACATATAGATGGCTAAGCGTTCACCAATTTGATTAGTTTTTGCATATTTATGATCAAGAAAATTAACATATTTCTACTGTACAAATCCGGGGTTTTAGTCACAACAAGTATTGCCCTTCTAATTGTTCAGTTTTAGCTTTCTATTTTGGGCTTGTTATAAAACTTAACTTTGCTTTGACTCTTTCGTGATGCTGGTTCTAAAACTTCACAGGGATGATGCCAATCTTATTGAAGATATTGTAGAGGATGTCTTTAGCAAATTGATCCACATCTCATCAAGCAAAGCCGATGGCTTGGTTGGAATGGATTACCACATAGATGAAATGAAGTTACTATTACGTCCTGGGGCGAATGATGTTTTCGCTGTTGGAATATGGGGTTTGGGAGGTATAGGCAAAACCACCATCGCTCGTGCTGTTTATGATGAAATCGCTTGTCAATTTGAAGCTTGCTGCTTTCTCGAAAATGTTAAGGAAGGCTTCTCGAATAATGGTGCAGTACATATGCAGGAAGTGCTTCTTTCTAGAATATTGAAGGAAAAGGTGCGGAGTTTTGGCACGTTGGATCGAGGTTCCAAAATGATAATGAAAGGGCTACGAAGGAAAAAAGTTTTCATTGTTCTTGATGACGTTGACAAATTATCCCAAATCGAAGCCTTACTTGGAAGGCAGCATTCATTTGGTGATGGAAGTAGAATCATTATAACAACAAGAGATATGCAATTACTAAGTGGAGCTGATGCTGTATATAAGCCCAAGAACTTAAGTGAGCCAGAAGCTCTTGAACTCTTCAGTCTGTATGCCTTCAAAACCAACCAACCCACAAGAGATTATGATCGTCTCTCGAGGCTTGCCATACAACATGCTCATGGTGTGCCTTTAGCGCTTAAAGTCTTGGGAGCTTTGCTTGATAACAGAAGTGTATGGGAGTGGGAAGATGTGTTGAAGAAAACAAAGAAAACCCAGCTCATGGGAATTCAGGATGTTCTTAGAAGAGCTTTGATGGGTTAGACGAATCAGAGAAGGACATATTTCTAGATATTGCATGTTTCTTTAAAGGGATGGAGAAAGACTATGTAACTAAAATTCTTGATAGTTGTGGCTTTTATCCCCATAGTGGATTAGGAGTGCTAGTTAGCAGAACTCTCATCACTATATCAGATTACGATACGCTTGAGATGCATGATTTACTGCAAGAAATGGGGTGGGAAATAGTCTGCCAAGAATCTAATAAAGATCCTGGAGGACGAAGCAGGTTATGGATTTATGAAGATGTTCATCGTGCATTAACGCAAAATACGGTGAGATATATTCATTACCTCTTTCTTTTAAGCATGTAATATTGAGTAGAAAGCGGAAGTATGACAAAAATCAAATTTGGATATTTTCACACATTGAATTTCTACTGTTTCGTTATCTAGGCTACAAAAGCAGTTGAAGGCATAATCCTCGACTTGGCCAACTCAGAAGAGGTATACTTCGAAGCTGAAGCTTTTGTTAGAATGACAAAACTAAGACTTCTCAAGATCCATTGCAGCCGATCCATGGTAAACGCATCATGGGAGGACCGATCCCATCCAAATGATGACTGTAAACAAAATATGAGTGGGGATTTAAAATTTCTCTCTCATGAGTTGAGGTGTCTATGCTGGCATGGGTGCCCCTTAAAGTCCTTGCCATCCAATTTCCACCCCAAGAATCTTATTGATCTTGAAATGCCTTATAGTCAGATTGAACAACTTTGGGAAGGAAGCAAGGTACAATATTCATTTTTCATATGTTTCTTTTGAATGGTTAAGTTGTCAGATGCCTTATTATTTATTGGATGTTTTCCTGGTTGTTGTTGCAGCGTCTGGAAAGGTTGGAATTCATCGATTTAAGTTATTCTCAATACCTTAACAAAATCCCGGATGTCACTGAAGCAAAAAATCTTGAGAGTCTAAATCTTGAAGGTTGTTCAAGTTTAACTGAAGTTCACCCATCGGTTTCAGATCTTACCAACCTTGTTTTTCTGAGTCTAAAAGAGTGCAAAGAACTTCAGGTTCTTTCAAGAAGAATTCACATGAAATCTCTTAAAACCCTTATTCTTTCTGGCTGCTCAAATCTTGATAAGTTTCCAGAGATTTCAGGAAGTATGCAGGAGCTATCAGAGCTTTATCTAGATCGGACAGCAATTGAAGAACTTCCCTCATCGATTAGTATTCTTACGGGGCTTGTTACTTTGAACCTGAATGAATGCACAAAACTTAAAAGTCTTCCAAGCAGCATTTGTCAACTAAAGTCCCTCAGATATGTTACTCTCTCTGGTTGTTCAAAGCTTAAAAGCTTTCCAGTGATTGCAGAAGATATGGAAGGATTAAGAGAGCTTCATTTGGATGGAACACCTATCAAAAAGCTATCCCCATCAATTGAACGTCGTAAGGGGCTCGTGTTATTGTTGAACTATAAGTATTTGAGCTGAAAAGATTTAGAATAAGTTTTGTTTAAATTGGTGTATCCACTTGTGCAAAATGAGGCAAAGTGTAAATGACTAGTTTTGTAAAAAAAGGCCATGAGTGCCATGTGTTGAGTGATCCATGAGATTAGAAAGATGTGTGTCTAGGATGAATTGTAGTGGTTATTGTGGTCCCAAGTTAAGGGCCTTCAGTTAATGTAAAAGCAAGTTAGTGCTCTGTGTGAAATGTAATGAAATATTCCTCTGCAAGAGTTTCTGCAGAGTGAAAAACAAGAAACCATTCTTTTTTCTTTCGTCTTGGTTTATTTTGCTTTCTGTTCAGCTCCATCTACATCAAAACCTTCGTTGATTTAAGAAACACTAACATGGCCTCAGAGCCTAGTTGGGTCTAAAATCTGGGCGTAAATCTGTGAAGCTATTTTTGAGCTCAATCGAAGCTCTCTTGAAGCTCGGTGAAGTTGTCGATTCAGATCAAAACATGTCTGGATCTGGAGGCTCGGAAGTGCGAACTCCAGTTTTCTCCGGTGAGAACTACGAGTTCTGGAGAATTAAAATGGCAACGATATTCAAATCTCTTGGGTTATGGAATCTGGTAGAGAAGGGGATTGCAACCTCCAATCCGAAGAAGAAGGAAGCTGGAGAAGCATCGGAGGAGGATGAAGGAATGGTAGCTGTTCTGATGAAAGACGCAAAGGCTTTGGGAATCATTCAGAATGCAGTCTCGGATCAGATCTTCCCACGAATCGCCAATGCCGAGTCAGCTAAAATGGCATGGGATTTGTTGTACGGGGAGTATCACGGTGGTGATCAGGTACGATCTGTGAAACTGCAGAATCTTAGGAGAGAGTTTGAATATGCTAGGATGAGAGATGATGAGTCTTTATCTAGCTATCTTACACGGCTAAATGAGTTAATTAATCAAATGAGAACATTTGGTGAATCTCTGTCGAATGAGAGACTTGTGCAGAAAGTGTTGATCAGTCTTAGTAAACCTTATGATTCTATCTGTTTGGTTATAGAAAACACAAAGTGTCTAGAGACTGTAGAGTTGCAGGAAGTAGTTGCAATCTTAAAGAGTCAAGAGCAACGGTTTGATCTGCATACTGTTGATACTACTGGGAAAGCATTCTCATCTTTCTCAGTGAGTCCAAAAGAGCAGAATAGGGGTGAAGGTCAACCTGGTTCATCTCAGTTTCAGAAAAATTGGAATAATAAGGGTAAGAAATGGGGTTCAAAACCTAAGTTTCAGCAGAAATTTCATGCTAATTCTGCACATAATGCACAGTCAATGGGGCAGATAGGTACCAAACCACAGTGCAGGGTATGTTCTAAGTTTCACTTTGGAGAGTGTAGGTATAAAGGGAAACCTAAATGCTATAACTGTGAAAGGTTTGGTCACTGGGCTAGAGAGTGCACAGTAG